TGGAAATGGCACATTCAGGTCAAATGGTAGTAAAAATTTGTTTTCATCCCTTTAATCAACCATATACAAGCTGCAAAACCGTGTCTCAGATTTTTTATATATGCCTCCAGTAAGAAGATATATTGATTTTACTGCTGGGTGCCAAACCTCATTTCACCTTTCATCTTTGGAGACCTGTAAGTTCATTTAGAAACAAATTATCCAAAAACTGGGACACGGTATTGTAGAAAATACTCCCTTTAATCCCATATATCAAAGTCAAGCCAAAGGGGGTACCCATAAAGTTTATATTTTCATTTTTTCCTAACAAATCTCATGAAAAATTGTTCTGAGAAATGACCTAAAAATGGAATTTCCCCCTTAGAACCCCTATAAATGCAACATAAATACAAAAATTCCACTGGGAACACCCCAGGAGTGTTCTGACACCATTACTTTATCAATAGAACCACACACTTTGTCTCTTTGATGCTCTAATGCTGTAAATTTTGCATTATGTGTGGCACTGTGCAACACTTACTTGGCATTTGGCGGGAGTTTGACGTCACAGATTTGACCAATATCTGTGATGTAGTAATTAAATATAGACAAAGCTCCGCCTCTGTCCAGACAGTCTAAGATAAGAGAATAACAGGATTGACCAGCTGCATATAATCAATATTTAACATCATTATTCTCACTATAAAGAATAATTTTCATTTGTATTTTAAAAAGAAATATATTATTACTGAAATTAGCTAGAACATTAAAATTGTGCATCAAAAGATCCAAGACCATCCACTTCTTTAAAAAAAAGACACTCCCACATGATTTTTGAGTTTTATGGAATTGAAAAATTTCACATCAACTTAAAATTGGTTAAAATGCCTAAAACTGTATTTAAATGTAGAAGACCAAATAGATGAAATCTATACAGGCAGTCAGAGGCTTTCAAAGATACTTTCACACTCTTTTCCATATTTTTTTTCATTTTTTGTAGATTTCTTCCCTTTAGATTTTTTTCCTTTCATATCTTTTTCTTTTTCTCTGTTTATAAACATGTTATATAAATTACTTTTGTTGCAAAATAATGAGATAAGACCACAATATTTATCTTGTGGTCAGGGATTAACAGCTGGACACTGGTATCAACAGATGATTGACATATTAGCCCCTCCCAAATGCCTATATATTTAGATTAATTACCATGTGCTTTTATTTACATAAGTTACATTATCAATTTACTCCCTGTTGTGATATGATAATGACTTTGGGATTTTTACAAACTGTGCAGAATAATACTTAATTCAAAATTAGGTGATAAAAAAATTATCTTCAAAAAATCATTGTTAGACTGTAGTGCTACCTTAATTTGACCAACAAAAAACCGCGTTAAAACGGGAGGAGGGGGCCGGGGCTCTGGTGATCTGGAAGAGTAACCAGTTGATGATCCACATGTGTGCTTATGCAATTACAAATCTTGTGATACGTCGCATTTTGAAACCAATTATACATCATCTAACAACAAAGGTTTAAAGGAGACATGACACGATTTTCAATTTGTGTTTCAAAATGTTTATTTATACTTAACTTTCCCCAAAAATACATCGATAGCAATATAAGTGTCAACTATTTGGTAAAATATGTATTTTAATGAGATTTTGATGCAACGTTTATCGACCTGTCAAATATGCATATTTCCATCCCGGAAGTCACTCAGAACGAGGCTACTACGTCAGTGGTTACATTCATTCATATTGACATATGGGTACAGCACAAATTTAGTTTCGATTATTATCCAACAAAACGCATGACAGTGATAAACAATGTTTATATGTGATGCCGATGGATTCAACAATATAATTAAAAAGATTATTGACATGATATTTTCTGTTTTTTCGAATGACACGCAGACTTAGAAGGTGTAAAGATGGGACTTTTTAACAAGCCCAAACTACACTTCTTTCCGCCCACTTTCATAAGGAATCAAGATTTGGGGTATCTAGTGCCAAGCCATGAGTTCATTATAGGTCACAGCTGTACGTTACAGATGATTGAGTTTCGCAATTTCAGGTCTCGTTTGAAGTTGCAAACTTCAGGTGTCACTCCACATGGGGGACTGATAAGACATATAGTTATTACGCAATATTACTTCATAAGCTCTTTGTGTACATCCTGGATGTTGGTTTTGCCGAGGGCACAGGTGAGATTGGAATATATTATTGTTGTGTACAGTAATACAGGTACAACTACCTGATGTTTAATGAATACCTGTAGTACGACCATACAATACCCTGTGCACCACCAATTAAATACCCTAACCCGTGTTGATAACTAATAGACAACCTGTATATAGATCTTATTTTTATTGCTTTTAAGAATATGCAGATATAAAAAGGTTTATAACAGATGCATTTTTTAATTGACTTCTTGAGATGGAAAAGTAATATTCTTGTATGCTTGCAAGTCTATAACTTCATAAGAAATTGGTAGACAAAAAGCATAAAAAGCAAACAGGGAAATGATACGAGAATGTGAATCATAAGTCTTTTACATTCTTTTTCTGACACATCCCCTATTTCCATTCTCAGTTTGAACATCGGATATAATTATTGACAACTATTTAGATGAAAAACATTTCTTATTAAAATGGAAACTTTATAATAAATGAAGAAAGTGTCGTTTATCGTAAGGCCTCCAATAATGAGAAAACCCCATACTTGTATATTCGCCTATAAAAGTTCTCAACGTGAAAATGTGAAACAATTTTAATGAGAAAACTAACTTATTTATAACAAAATAATTTCCGCAAAACAATTGACAGACATGAATCAACGACAACCACTGATCTATATGCTCCCGATTTAAGACAGGTCTGCTCTATGGTCGGGTTGTTGTCTCTTTGACACATTCCCCATTTCCATTCTCAATTTTACATTCAAAATCTGTCGGTGGTATATGTTTGTGAGCGCTTACGGTACCTTCTCCCCCTCCCAACGTGTAACAGTGGTCTTACTGCAGTACATAAGAACTATAAAAACCAGTCTAACGCAAAAGATCGGTACGAAGTAGAGAAACCACTAACGTTAAAACAATAGAGACAACGCACAAATACTGTTAGCCAGATCAAAGCCAAGTACAGCTATAATACACAACTCATGTTCTCGAAGACTGAAGTATGTTACATGTAAACATTTTCCTGCTCAGTCCGATTGAAAATCTAACATTTATTCAAATGACCCCTTTTAGAAGAAATATTTTGAACAAGAACATTATGTGTTGCGAATATTTTCCTGGGCTCAAGCGTTTGATGGTAGCAATAAACAAATTGATTGCTAAATGATATTTGGAAGAGAGGGGTGGAAATAAGTGAATTTGAATTTACTTTGTGTAATTCCTTAAATTTGAAGTTAGATTTATAAGGGTCTGGATGGAATAGCATACTTTAGAACTGTATAACTATATTAATTATTTCAACAAAAGATAGTTTTTTCTTAGAAATGTATGATTTTAAAAGGTGAATAACATAACACGTGACTAAATTACACTACAGGTGCCTTCTTACCTTTCACCTGGTCAAGTATGCTATAGGTGTCAACATTTAATCACTAAAACAGCAGCCTCCAATAAATGTTTTGTATTGTGTAATTTTATACATAAGGTGAGACGTAAATAAATATTGAATTGAATTGTTTACATAAAAGGGGAAAAGTAATAAAATTGTTGATAGAATATCCTAATGCAGAAATAGTGTGATAAAGGATTTTTCATTATACAAATCCTTAGTGTGATGTATGGTTTCCAACCAAAAAAATTATAAACAATACTTTTGGTGATAATTTATACCTAGTAAAAGTCTCTATGTAATCAAAAAATACAAATAAATAAAAACGGACACTTTGCGAACGCCTTATTTGACTTTTACTATCGCTTTTTTTTCTGCTTCTGGCGCACACATAATTATAACATTACCGTAACAGAGAGAAAAAAGAACACTTTGATCATCAATAATTAGAAATTTATATTTTCAATCATGATTAAAAAGTACTTTTATTTAAATGAAAAAAATGCAGAAAGCGGTCTATTAAATTTATTCATCAGACAAACCAAATATGTATGGTAACAATCCGATCGGTCTTGTCTGAAAATCGTCGTTTTTGAAATCTTCGCATGAAGAATTAATATCCTTTTCTTTGTTATTTTTCACACACAATGTCTTTATAGTTTGTCAGTAATCGGGAAAAGTGCTGTCAATACCGTCCATAGTGTATCGACATCGTCCAGTTAGAGACATTTTCCCAGCTTGTAACCACTGACGTAAGCACGATCACGTGATCGTTACCTAATTAAAAATCATTCCTAATGACAAGCGCTGGATACTTTGACCAGAAAAATGCCGATTTAACATGTTTTGACCAGCAAAATTGTACAAAACATGTTTTAATACTAATATTTATTAATTAAATAAAAAAAAAAAAAAAATCGTGTCATGTCTACTTTAACCTCGCAAGTAGGAGAGATCGATTAACGTGGAAGGAATGAACTATTTGGGTTGTATTTTTATATAGTTTCCGTTCTCGAACGATACGGCCACCTGTCGTCTTCAGAAAACAAAATGTTCTGTATACATGCCATATACAAATAAAAATGTTATTATTCTATTTGTGTTCTTTTAGATGCATTTGCTGTACATATATGATTGATTTAAATTACTTAGGTATATATATTTACTCCATATGGAGGTGCTCCAACTTAGAGAAGGCTATTTCACCGAAGAAGAAACCGAGCGCCATCTGACGTCATAATGATCGTTAGCATAATACAACAATGACAATTTACAAATCGACAAGTTACAAAACATCAATATACAAATTGACAATTTACAAATCTACATTTAACGAATCGACAAGTTACAAAACATCAATATACAAATTGACAATTTACAAATCGACATTTTACGAATCGCCAACTTTACAAAACATCAATATACAAATTGACAATTTACAAATTGACAATTTACGAATCGACAAGTTACAAAACATCAATATACAAATTGACAAATCACACAGTTACAAGTTACAAATTGACAAGTTACGAAGTAAGAATTTTGACCCCGTTGGCTTTCCATAGATAGCGGGTTGCTCTTCTTGCTAAACCGTCAGGTAAACAAAAAATATGCATGGACTATTTTTACAAACGTTTTGCGTACAATCACCGGTTTCTTACTTATCGGCTTGTTTACATTGCACATCTCTAATTTAAAACGATAACATGCCTGCTCTTGGATACTGGAAAACAAGAGTGGTAAGATTAATGATAATTTTGTTTCATTTCATTAATTTTCATTAACTTGAGGCACGTTGAAACACCCATTGTGAATTGACAAATCGTATGCCAAAAAAATAGTCCTGTGAGATTCAATCGTATGTCAGTCTAAACATTTACCTCATTCAAAATCTAAAAAGGAAAAACTAATCATAACCTATCGGGCATAGTATATCAGAACCAATAATTAAATTTCGTCTTTTCTTTAATGATAACGGGGACTCATATTTTTTACAATAATATTCGTCAGTAAGATTAATAAAGACTATATATATATATGGCTTAGACAACCATAATTATTAAAACAAAATGTTACAGTGTATATAGCTAGTGTGATAATATAATCAGTAAACTAAAATGACAGTGAGAATCTATATTGGAGTATACATTGCTATTGAAACTCCCTATTTAGCTATCTTAAAATTTAGATATTGTTAATATTATTAAAGGGGCATTGGCAACGAGAAATTAAGCAATAAAATATGATTTTTTTGTTCAGTCATTAATTAAAGTAAAATAGTTAAATAATAATTCGCTTTTAGCAGCCAGTTTGGTTCAATTTGGCAAAAATAAGCTAAGAAACATCGCTGATGAATTATTCACTTGCACTGATTAATTCGACCTCATTAAATCCGTATTCATGTGACCTTTAATTTAACACACTAAGCTAGAGACTGGTAACGCATGAATTAGGCGTGCTCAGCTATTAAAGGGAAAATGATGTCCCCATTGAAAGTGAAACAAGAGTGAACCATTTGGTTGACTGCTTTGACCCACAAAACTCATTCTTATACAGGTAAAAACGATGATTAACATATTTTATTAACATATATGAAATCAAACAGACCTAGAAAAATCAAATTGCACGTGTTCGCTATATCTATTTGCAGGTGAATAATTCGACCTCATTGAATCCGTATTCGTGTGACCTTCAATTTAATATATTAACTAGAAATTGGTTACGCATGTATAAGTTGTGTTCATCCATTAAAAGGAAAAGAATGTCAACATTGAGAGTGAAACAAAGATTAACCATTTCGTTGACTTATTTGATCCACACAAAATTATTCTTATACAGGTAAAAACGATGAGTAACTTATTTTTTTAACCTATAACATGAAATCAAACAGACCTACTAAGAAAAGTCAAATCGCACGAGGTCGATATCTATTAATATTTTTGTTTATGTTCATATCGAATTTGTGACCGTTGGCAGTCTTCGGAGGTCATATCGATGGTTAATTAGAAGGTGTCCAGGCTAAAATAAACACGAAATGTTTATATATATTATCGAGTCCATGCATTGTTAATTGTTTATTTCAGACGTATTGTAATTTGGATATACGTTTTAGTATGTTATAAATGAAATATGAGAATTTGAGTCAAATCGATGAACATGAATTTGACAGCTAATGCCCCTTTAAATATCAAGGAATTTCATTTGACCGGTACTTATGAATACATTTCAGCTTGCACAACCAATCAGACTATTACTGAATTATGTTGGAGAAGAGTTTGAAGATGTGCATTACTTGATGGGAGAAGGTAATATGTACCTCTTTTTTCACACGTCTTTCAAAGAAACAAATATGACATTGATAATGTAAAATAAATGCATCAAAGAATACAGGCTTAAAATTTAATATGCGAGACGGGCGTTTTGTCTGCTTAAGACTCAGCTGTGTCGCTCATATCAATTCAGTTGAAAAAACCAACTAAAAAGTTTAGGAGCATTGAAAGCGAAACATTCCATGGAAATTTAAGCTTAATTTGGCCAAGGCCATCCTTGCATGGGGGTAGAATCGTTTTGAAAGATTTTAACGTTTCAATCACATCAACGAGAGATGACTACGGACATGTTCCAATTGTCGTTACCACAATCCCGTCCTCTTTTCTCCGAATGTGGCCCACCGAATAAGACCTACTAAGAGAATTTTTCTTACATGGTCAACACTTATTCTTGAGAATCGAACTGCTAATGCATAAAGAATCAAAGAAAAAATAATTATCTGCGGGAGATTTTACGTACAATAGTAAATTTTATAAAATTAACTAAAACAGATCGCTCTGAATTTTATGTTATCCGTCATTTTCTATTTGTTTACGTAATATTATAGGTCCTGATTTCAGCAAAGAAGCCTGGTTATCTGTGAAACAAACACTGGGTCTCCCTTTTCCTGACGTGAGTATTTCTGTAGATTAAAATTGCCCTTTGTCTCCGTTTTTCTGATAAACTCCGTTTTGAGAGGAAGGGATATATGGAGAATGTATAGAAGGCAACAATCTTCTGAAGTGTTTTGAAATAACCACGGTAAATTCAGAAATTATTGCGTACATTAATCATAAATACAGGTATATGTATCAGATATCAGAACGCGAGTTCTTATTTTTGCTATACTCACTCAGTAGCATTATTTGAATAAATAAAAAAAAACTCGCAAGAATTTCTGAATTTACATTATTTGCTTTTTATTTCATTTTTACCGGGGAGAAAAGATTATGACTTCATTTTATCAAGAAAGGTATTATTGAAACAAACATCAGGTCTTTCCGTTTAGTATATACATATGTTTTATTGTTTATCGATCGTTTTACCTCCTTTCTTTTACAATAGTTTGTATGTCTGTAACAGTTTTTTTTTATCTTTATCATCTTTATTTCCCCATTGTTGATTGGTACATTAACATTTTAAAGGATATTAGAATTGTTAAAAGGGGTTAAAATATATCTAACAAAAAATAACTATTGAAAACACTACTAACCTACTATTGAAAAGTCACGAACCTCTTTACCTTAATGTGTTTTTGGCATTTGGTGTTTATGACAAATTTTTATAGTTAGTTAAAGTCAATCTCTACTCATCTTAACATGGTGCTATCTAGTGCTTGGTATATTGTATTATGTTGTTGTTCGGTTTTTGTCTCAATGGCGTTTCTACAGCAACGGCATCGCATTTTATCAATAGTAGATTGACATACATGTATACAAATGTGTTTAAATAAATATTATAAATCGAAAGGTCAATAACATATCATACTTACAGAACAAAAAAAGAAATCAACATTGAATACAGGTTGGATAACCAAAGTTTCTTAGTCATCAGTCACAGCAAGCTGTCGTTCAACTGTGAAGAATTATATATTAAGATCATGTATTTTGTGACTTTGAAGGCTTGAGGATTTAACAGTCTTTACCGCCCTGCCAAAAATAATAAATAATGATAATTCTAATACCACATAAAACAACAAGAAATGAATGTAACAGGATGCTGTTACGAAGTCTCCCAAACGAAGCTCCCATAATTCGTAATTCCCAGGGTCGCCTGACATTGGGCAACTTCCAGTGAAAATTGGTTTGGTCCAGTAAAGTTATATGCATTAGTGATGCCTGGGGACTAACTTGTATATCATTCAAATCATCTTGGCATGACAAACCAGATTATATATGGTTTAAAGGTGGGGATCTCGACCATTTACAAGATACTAGAACATTGGGGGTGGGGAGGAACCCCTGGGGACTGGCCCTATACGTCATTCAAATGTTCATTACATGACGAACAGGAATATATATGGTTTAGGGGTGGGGATCTCAACCATTTACAAGATATTAGAACATTGGGGGGTGGGGGGGGGGGACCCCTGGGGACTGACCGTATACGTCATTCAAATGTTCGAGACATGACAAATAGGAATATATATGGTTTAGAGGTGGGGATCTCAACCATTTACAAGATATTAGAACTTTCTCAAATGGCAGGGGGTGGGGGTGACCCCTGGGGACTAACCCTGTATTTCATTTGATGTGCTTTATCATGACAAACCAGAATATATATGGTTTAGGGATGGGGATCTCGACCATTTACAAGATATTAGAACTTTCTCAAATGGCAGGGGGTCGGGATGACCCCTGGGGACTAACCCTGTATATCATTCAAACCATCTTAGCATGACAAACCAGAATATATATGGTTTAGGGGTGGGGATCTTGACCACTTACAAGATATTAGAACTTTCTTAAATGGCAGGGGGTGGGGGTGACCCCTGGGGACTAACCCTGTATTTCATATGATGTGCTTTATCATGACAAACCAGAATATATATGGTTTAGGGGTGGGGATCTCGACCATTTACAAGATATTAGAACTTTCTCAAATGGCAGGGGGTCGGGATGACCCCTGGGGACTAACCCTGTATTTCATATGATGTGCTTTATCATGACAAACCAGAATATATATGGTTTAGGGGTGGGGATCTCAACCATTTACAAGATATTAGAACTTTCTCAAATGGCAGGGGGTCGGGATGACCCCTGGGGACTAACCCTGTATATCATTCAAACCATCTTAGCATGACAAACCAGAATATATATGGTTTAGGGGTGGGGATCTTGACCACTTACAAGATATTAGAACTTTCTTAAATGGCAGGGGGTGGGGGTGACCCCTGGGGACTTACCCTGTATTTCATATGATGTGCTTTATCATGACAAACCAGAATATATATGGTTTAGGGGTGGGGATCTCGACCATTTACAAGATATTAGAACTTTCTTAAATGGCAGGGGGTCGGGATGACCCCTGGGGACTAACCCTGTATTTCATATGATGTGCTTTATCATGACAAACCAGAATATATATGGTTTAGGGGTGGGGATCTCGACCATTTACAAGATATTAGAACTTTCTCAAATGGCAGGGGGTCGGGATGACCTCTGGGGACTAACCCTGTATATCATTCAAACCATCTTAGCATGAGAAACCAGAATATATATGGTTTAGGGGTGGGGATCTTGACCACTTAGAAGATATTAGAACTTTCTTAAATGGCAGGGGGTGGGGGTGACCCCTGGGGACTAACCCTGTATTTCGTTTGATGTGTTTTGTCATGACAAACCAGAATATATATGGTTTAGGGGTGGGGATCTCGACCATTTACAAGATATTAGAACTTTCTCAAATGGCAGGGGGTCGGGGTGACCCCTGGGGACTAACCCTGTATATCATTCAAACCATCTTAGCATAACAAACCAAAATAAATATGGTTTAGGGGTGGGGATCTTGACCACTTACAAGGTATTGGAACTTTCTTAAATGGCAGGGGGTGGGGGTGACCCCTGGGGACTAACCCTGTATTTCATTTAATGGGCTTTATCATTTAGAACATTTTCAATTAAAAAGATTGTGTCTATCACAAACGGTTTTCAATTTATAATCATTTGAAAATTTAAAAAAATAAAATCCCATAGGGTTCTATAGTAAAACCCTCTTTTCTTTTGCCCCTCAAAGTACCCCTTTATAAACCCCATTGCACAAACAAAACCCTGATTGCACCACTAGACATGTTAGTCTAACATATTGTGAAACCCTAAGTTAATCTGACAAGGGGTTTTGGAGAACGGGTGCGGACAAGTTCAAATTTAAAAGCGGCGGAAGAAGAAGAAGAAGAAGAAGAAGAAGAAGAAGAATAATAATAATAATAAGAACTGAGCAAAAACAATAAGTCTTCCCAAACTTCGTTTGGGAGACTTAAAAATCGTGATGACATTGACTATCGTCTTGTGTGTGTGATTACAGGGCATACATTTTTTTCTTTATTTGAAGTTATTACAAACGATCAGCTATACACTTTTAAAAATGAATGTTATTCACACTGAATTTATAGAATAGAGATTGTTTCCCCTTTTTCGAAATTTAGAATGTTGACTATGTATTTCCAGCTACCGTATTATATAGATGGTGAAGTAAAACTGACACAGAGCAATGCCATCCTCAGATATATAGCTAGAAAGTATGATTTGTGTAAGTAAATATGGTGTTATAGCAACTACAGGTGAAGAAGCTATTAGTACAAAAGGTGTATATATTACTGTTTATTGTTGCATGACTATTTGCAAAGAAAAATGAAAAAGGTATATGTGTTATTCTTTGATATATGATTTACTTCTTAGTATTATCACTTGTATAATACATTCTTCTTTCAAAATTAAAGTTTCAGATTTGTTTTAAATTCAACATATCATAAATTGTGTATTTATAATCATTTAACCTATAGCTGTGCAATGGAACCTATGGGAATGCAACCCGAGTATAAATCTCAATAACCGAAAATTATACCATAGATATCTATGGTATAATTTTCACAATTATACCATGTTTTTGTTGTATAGGGTCTTCGAGAAAAAGAAAGATAGCAAGACCTGGCTGTCTGAATTTTTTGACATTTGAACAACAGAGTCAGTGCGGGGCCACTAAGCTAAACTGCCCGCTTTGCACCAGCCGATATAAATGAATGCCTAGGGTGGGAATCGAACCCACGTACACCAACTCTGTTGTCCTATATTTTTAAATGAAAAAAAAAATCGCTCCTAGAACAAATAAACAAACAAATAAAGTTAAAAAAAATATATAAATGTGTATATATTATACTGGAAAATATAAGTTGATTTTCGGTTATTGAGATTTATACTTGGAATGTATTCCATAGGCTTCACTTTACAGCTACATGTATAGATTTGAATTTGCCGAGACGGCTTTTTGGGGGAGGGCAGGGAGCAAGCCCCTTTTAAGGAGGTTCATATTTGGTAAATGCATAGACTTTTTCATTGTATTACTCCAAATATTGGCTTGCTAGATCCCCCTTTCAGAATCCTGGACCCGCACCCGATGTGTTATACATTGCTGACATCTAGACTTTAACGAGGTTGCTCAAGTAATAACAATAATGTTGAAATGTTAAAACTAGATGGCGTCTGGTTTTTCTAAATGAAGCTTACTTTTTTATGTAAATTAATGCTAGTAAACAAGTGATTTTAATTATGAACATTTTGAAATCCGTTTTAATTTATGTACGACTTGGGCTTCAGGTACAAATTAAAATGTAGAATGATTCATCCAAACTCTCAAAAAGATTCTTGTGAAATTACTTTCCTCAGAATTACATATGAATATTAAAAAATTAAAACATTCAAACATTTTGATAAAATAAAAAAAACTAACCCTTTGCAGTTCAACTTTTAATCTGTGGTCTCTTGCGTCCATATCCAGAACATCTAATTCCTTTTACATTTGTTCGTCTGTAACGTTATCCGTCACTAATGTAAATGTGCATCCATCTCTGTTGAAACATCTCGTCTTACTGATTTTCCCGCTGTTTCAGAAGCCCGTGCTTATTTTAGAAAGTAGGCGGAGCTTTATGTGTAAGGCCCGAAAAGGGTTATTTAACTGATTCTTATCAAAACTATTTTTAAAGTAAACAAACAAAAATATATGAAATATACAATTTTAAACAGCAAAAGATGCGATAGGTTAAAACAGATATTCCATATTTTTTGGATAGTTTTGGGTTGTTTCGTAAACTATACCATAGTTTTTTGTTGAAACCCCTCGGCAACCTCACTCGACTTCGTCTCGTGAGGTTATTGCCAGGGGTTTCAACAAAAGCTATGGTATAATTTACGAAACACCGCAAAACTATCCAAAAGATATGAAATATCTATAACTTAAAAGATGAAGGATGTCAAAGTATATAATTTCATCGATTTCAATTATCAAAGAGGATTATACCGAACTTACCTGTCTTATATTTCCTGTCCTGTCACTTATGGTATTAAAAAGGAGGTAACATTTGAAGTTTCGATGTTCAAATATTGTTCATCCATTTGGAATAAACAGAACCAATATGACTAAACAAAACGAAGAATTCTCATTAGTTGAACATGGTAGCCAAGCGTCTCTTGCTTTACATGCCTTGCGAATCCATGACACAATCGATAAATCCACAGATCAGACAACCTTTCTGATACCTTTAGATCTAAGACCGCGAAAACTTCAAGGAACCTTTGTTTTCAATGTTCCTCAATATCGAAACCATTGGTGATTTTAATGCATGTGTCTTCTGACGTATTAAACTAAAATCCATGGTTATATGATGAATCTTATAGAGCTCATTCTTGATAGATATGGTAAGTAATGATCAGATGGAAAAGTTAAAACTGTATAAATGAAAATATAAATACAATGAACATTAAAAATTCGGAGATTATGAACATATGGAGAGTTGCTAATTAGACAACTATCCATAAGCCAAAGGTGAAAGATGAAAACAATTATAAAACACAAAAACAAAAAAAGTCATCGTAGAAATAGGAATATTTTCTTTTTCTTACTGTCAGTGTATAAACAAAGGTATAAAAAAAAATATCGAACTCCAAGGTAAATTTAAACAGTGGTGGAGGGGACCCATAACAAACCTGACAAAACCAAACCTTAGACTATATCAACCAATGGAACAAATGGAAAACAACTGTCATATGTTTGGTTCATGAAACATTTTGAATTGTGAATCTAGCGTCAAGCAACTTTTTGATGTAATTTTGTAGTAGGAAGAACAACACAAGAGGTAATAGACTGTGATGTTATGTTCGAAAATGCTGTAGACTTTAGAAACGCTACCACAGCAGTTACATATAACCCTAACTATGTGAGTACTATGGGTATACTTTAGTAAAATTAACAGTTTATAAGTAATGTTGTTGGAATATCAATCAGTAAAATGAACAGTTTATGCTGAAAAAAACGTCGTTATGAAATGTTTGAAACGTAGTGACAGTCAAACATGTATACAAGCATTTTAAAATATTACCATATATTTTTTCTGGATGACAGAACATCCAGTTAGGATGATTTTCCCCATTGTGAATTCATAACTGTTAAGTGAACTATTTTAGTATAGTTTCCGTTTTTACCAAGCAAACTAAATTTAAAATTCTGAACTAGATGCAACCTCATGTGGACCCAACATGAACGACATGATGTTTGATGGACAACTGTTTTGTCCAGTTAGATAAATTTTTCCAAAAACAAAAACACACCTACTTTCTGACAGGTTGACAGGTTCATGTATTCATGTGAAGGAGATCTTACAAAACCTTATAAATAAACAGAAAATAAATCTTACAAATCCTTTAATTTCACTCAAAAATATATATTGATGATTTTCTTCACCCTTCTCAGTACTTTTTGCATCCCATATCTCCCTGTGAACTTAAATTCATGGATTGTACAGGAACAATATCGTCTGATGCATTTTTTCTCTAATTGATGCTGATTGACAACTGAAAAAGTAGGATCTATGACAATCATTATACTTTCAGTTAGTTCTTGTCAATTTCCCACTCCTTAGTAATAGCATGACATCTACCCCAGCAAACTGGTTTCATTTCTCAGGTGATGCAAATAGATCTGGAATGCAATGTACAAGCATGAAAAACCTTTCATGCTACCTAATGTTTGTTCGTGCACATTGTTCTTTTTCTATTTAAAATACTTTGTTCACAGGAAAAACTGAAAGACAAATATTTGGAAAATTTACAGCCAAAGTTGGAGAGTTTTGAGAATTTTCTCGGTGATAAATCTTGGTTTGCAGGGAACAGTGTAAGATATTTAATAGGAGTGATTTTTTTTTCAAGCTGATACTAGTGATAGAAATATTGTAATGAAATTGAATGCTGTCAAATAAGAACGATCAGAATGGGGAATGAGAGTAAGTAAATGCATCGAGGAAGTGATCAGGGATTGAAAGAAGTGTTCAAAAAATGAATAACAGCATTTGAAATCCGAAACGACAGGAAAGAATAAGAGAGCAAGGATGAGTGTGTGTGTATTCAATAAAACCATTATTTACAAGAAAGAGACAAATAAAATATAACGAAAATTACATCTAAAATTGCATATAACTCAAACTAAAAACTAAAGCGTGTACTGCTTGCACTTGAAAATTATAATCATACGATTGGACTTTGTTCTCATATGTGAAATTGTGACTATGAAATAAATAAAAAAAAGCGCTAATAGATGTAAATGCGTTTGAACCTCTGACGTCCACATGAACAGTTCAACAACTTGTTTGTCACTGTGGAACATATTTAAAGCGAATTCGAAGTGTGGTGAAGCAATGATTCATCTCTTTAATAGCATCTGTCTTTTTCTTGTCTGGTAAATGTTTGACTGGAGATGTCGTAATTTTTTTTGGTTACAAGTGTAAAAGTTATAATAAGTACATATATGTAAATGTTCAGAGGTATTTCACGTGTTTCACAAAAGACGGGAGATGGAATTTCATAGAACGAAACATATGCATTCGAGAAGAAAATACCCGTAAAAAAAATAGTGTTGCAAATATTGAAAAAGTAGTTTGATACGTTTTATTCCACTGTTTATACATATTGATAGTTTAATCAATATTTGATTGGTTGAGACTATCCCACGTGTCATTGAACAAATCTTCATATTTCCTTCTGAGGATCATATTCCCGGCCTCTGAAATATCGGGATTACATCGTGCGACGTTGCGCGCGGTTAATGTACATAACGTTTTGAACTTCTTATTCTTCTTAAAATAGTGATAGCAAAAATCATTATCATGTTCAAATTTATTTCAGACGATAAAACAAAAAGACTAATATTGAACGTTTGATCCGTACTGTTTATCAATGTGTATGTCATGTTTAGTTTAACTTATAAAAACAAGCGGATAAGAAAAAAAAATGTATGCAAAATAATAATTAATGTATTGATAGTAAACAAAGCACAGGCAGTGAAATAAAACATTCATTTCCCTTTGCCTCGGGAGATATGGCAGAGCCCTCGTGAAATATGAATATTCTTGGGTGAACAAATCTTCATATCTCTATCAGGCATGGGAAATAAATGTATAATATTTCAGTGAAACATATCAAAATTATTTATTTTGTAAAAATATTTCTCTATTTGAACTGTACACGTATACCTAACAACAAAATTATTTTCATTTACCTGTGTTTAAAGTAGTTGCAAATGGCTGATATTTTTGTTCAAGCATATTGTTTTTCTTTAATTGTTTAACATTTCATAGCGGTATAACATGTTACTTTAATCATTCTTCCCTTAGTTTATTTATTTTGTATCATTTACATTGTATCATAGATCAAATTTATTTGGTCAGTGTATGTTCACAGGTGTTAATATGTCTTTTTATTGAGTTAAGCCATTTCAATTGACATTTTATAGTGTGTCTTTCTATGTTGTGATGTTACACTATTGTTTCAGATAAGGGTAAAGGTTTGGTACCATTAAAAAATTGTTTGCACCTGTCCTAAGTCAGGAATCTGATGTTCAGTAGTTGTCGTGTGTTGATGTGGTTCATAAGTGTTTCTCGTTTCTCGTTTTTTATATAGATTAGACCGTTGGTTTTCACGTTTGAATGGTTTTACACTAGTAATTTTTGGGGCCCTTTATAGCTTGCTGTTCGATGTGAGCCAATGCTCCGTGTTGAAGACCGTACTTTGACCTATAATGGTTTACTTTTAAAAAAATTTACTTGGATGGAGAGTTGTCTCATTGGCACTCAAACCACATCTTCTTATATCTATTTTATATTTATTTTCAGATTACAGTTTGTGATTTCCCTATATATGAACTACTTGATGTACATGAAGTCATGTTTCCTAGAATTTTGGACAAATTTCCTAATTTAACAGCATTTACTGCCAGATTTGAAGCTTTGCCAAACATTAAGCAATACATGAGTTCTGATAAATTTCTAGCACGTCCTATCAACAACAAATGGGCTGGATTTATAGGAAACTGAATTGTTTAATCTGTACCGTGTGTTTTACACTAAAAGTGCTATAACTCTGCTTGTGAAATACAGACATATTGTAATTATCAATGTTTTATTAGCAAATGAATTGCATTAATCAAATAGTAATGTTGATATACTAGAGTCCTTCGTATCACATTGATGTCATAGACAAGGTTGGTTCATTTAACCCAGAAAATGCTTCAGACTCTTTTATAACCCGAATTTTAGAAGAATGTTATTTATAATTTTGCTTACAGTCACTGATGATAACGTTCGTAGCAGTTCTGTATTAACACCCTTTGAATGAATTTTAACAAAGATTTCTTTAAAGATTTACTATCAACACAAAACTCATAAATGGGAAAAAATATATAAGATTTTCCTTAATTGGGAATCGTGCACATTCGCATACGGCGATTTAGAGTAGTTGTATGATTTTTCAACATTTGAAACTAATTTTTTTTTAGCTGGCATCTGACAACCCTCATCGGTCCTTTGATTTCTAATAATTATAAAAAAAAATTTTGCAGGTACATATAAAAAAAGCATCTTAACTCTAATTTCCTTTGTTTTCTGTATGAATACAATGTTAATCAATAGTCAAAATGATTTTGTAATGAATCTTGAATATATAGATGGCGTCTCCTTTTATGTTGCAAATGGTATCTAATCATTTCATAACGCGGTTCCCCATGATTGTTCCAGTGGTCATTGCATGATCGTTCAAATTATTATTGCATGATCGTTCAAATTATTATTGCATGAGCGTTCAAATTATTATTGCATGATCGTACCCGTTGCCATTCCAAGATCGTTCCAGTGGCCATTACATGATCGTTCAAATTATTATTGCATGATCGTTCCCGTTGTCATTCCAAGATGGTTCAAGTGGTCATTGCATGATCGTTCAAAATATCATTGCATGATCGTTCAAATTATTATTGCATGATCGTTCCTGTTGTGATTGCATGATCGTTCCAGCAGTTATTGCATTATCGTTTCAGTGGTCATTGCATGATCGTTTTAATTATTATTGCATGATCGTTCCCGTTGCCATTCCATAATTGTTCCAGCGGTCATTCCATGATCGTTCCAATGGTTATTGCATTATCGTTCCCGTTGTCATTTAAAATCGTTCCAGCGGTTATTCCATGATCGTTCCAGTGGTTATTCCTTGATCATCCCAGCGGTCATTGCATGATAGTTCGGCCAATGGCTATTGCATCATCGTTCCCGTTGTCGTTATGTTATCTATCTCCGAGTATCATCTTCATTTGAATAATAGTATACACGGTGTAAACGGCAATTGGGCACTGAGCATTTTTGCAAAACAAAGAAGTTAAGTGTAGTCTTCATTTTTATAACAATGGAAAAGTCAGTACGCCATTATCCATCTGGCAAATTGTAAAGCAGAATATGTCTTCGAAAAATTACAACGGTACAAGCCAGGAATTTAAACTGAGCTTACTGTATTATTTGTATTACCAAATTACCACTATAAGCTAATTGTACCAGGTTCAGAACTCGGCTGGTACAGAGGTAATTTTGAAAGACAAACTAAAATTGAGAATGGAAATGGGGATGTGTCAAAGAGACAACAACCCGACCAAAGAGTAAAAATCACAGCCGAAGGCCACCAATGGGTCTTCAACACAGCGAGTAAATCCTACCCACGGAGGCGGACTTCAGCTGGCCCCTAAACAAAAATGTGTACTAGTTCAGTGAAAATGGACGTCATACTAAACTCCTTAACATATATATGAACTAAAATTAAAAACATACAAGACTAACAAAGGCTAGAGGCTCCTGACTTGGGACAGGCACAAAAATGCGGCGGGGTTAAACATGTTTAGTGAGATCTCAACCCTCCCCCTATACCTCTAGCCAATGTAGATTAAACAAACACACAGCAATACGTACAGTATAACTCAGTTTGATTAAGGGCATACGTTACAGTAGCAGGGGCAGATAATAACGCTTTCAAAACTTTTCGTGTTGTTTTCACGACGTTGTTAATCAGAACGTTGTAATTTCGCGATGTTTCTAATAAGAACGATTACATTTCGCGACGTCGCTTTAGATGTAGTCACATTTGCGGAAATCCACTGACGTCATAATCCCGATTGGGCGAATTTGAAAAAAAGTACCTGCAATGAAAATCGGCTAAATCACGAGAATTGTTATATTTATTCATTAATAAGGAAGTCAACATCTAACTTCGAATGGGAAAAAAATCAAATCCACATTCTTAAAATTGTATGTCTGTTATTTCATATAGGAAATGAATAAGAGATATGAAAAACAAAGGACGTCGATGAGAGAGAAACCCAACTACACAAAAAAAAACATAAGTAATTTATATAGTAACTTCACCATTTGGCTAACTCTAAATTGTAATGAGAATTGTACGGATCAATTTAACAGAGGCTATCAACAAAATGACAAAAAAAAAACGTAATAAATAATGACAGCGCATCTTACTGTTTCTGACTTTGAAAAGGTACATTAAAGAGTTTAACGGCATTTTTAGAATTTAACCCGTGGAATATATAAGTGTATGAAGAAGAATTGTCAGTTAAAATGACTCAGTTATAAGCCCCGTATTATAGACCAAAAATAAAAACGCACCCGTTGATGTGCTAATTAAGCATATCCTCTATGTACATATTGAGAGAGAAAAATCGGCACACAGGAATTAGGTATTTGACAGACCAGAGTTGCAACTCATTAATGTTAAGTTACTGACCAAATACGAAGTCTTTTTGTAAAGTAGTTTCTCAGATAAGAAACAAAATATTTGTTGGACCGGACAAACAATGTGGTTGCACTCACTCCTAGATTGAAGGTATAATACAGACAAGTAATTCAATGATTATATGTACCGTAATAAAAAAATCCTGAAGACAAGCTTAGGTAACTAATCTATTGATACAGAATAATTAAATTTCATGCTCTTATATCGACTGCTGTATGAAATGTTATACTACACTGTAATGGACAAAGCTGACCCGATTTAATGTGGGTATGATTTTGTGTTCATATGTAATGCCTATAGAGTAGATCGTTAGTTTTCTTGTTTGAATTATTTCACATTTTCATGTCGCGGATTTTTAAAGCTGACTATACGGTGTGGCTTTTTCTTTTTCTTTTTTTTTTTTGGTGTTGAAGGCCGTAGGGTGACCTTTAGTAGCGTTTATCTTCGTCATTTGAACTATGGTTGATAGTAGTCTCTTTTGCAATCATACCAAATGTCCTTATTTTTATATCATCCCCCTTACTTTATAATTGTTGCACATTTTGTCATGTCGGGGCCTTTTGAATAATTAAAACTATGTTCAAGCTGTGTTGTCTAGATGAATTGTATGACTAATGTCGGACAGAGATGCAAATTAATTTTTTTATTATATATATCTGTTTTGTTTCCAAACATTTCTTTTCTAATAAAAGTAATTTACTAGAATACTTTTTCTATCCAAGTTTGAATTCGTAACAATTCATAAAGGTTTGGCAAATATGATGCTATTTTATGAGGAGCCAGCTTTATTAACTTTCATGATTAATATCATTGGTTTAAAAACTACATCATCTACACGAGACAGCAGTTTCTACGTTATGCTTTTATCGGTATTCCCCAGACATGCGTGAGTTCCATATCAACGGGAGTACTATAATCAGGTTTCAGGGGTTTCCTCCCGTCTTCCGGTTGAAGAGAAAATAAATACCGTGTTTAAAATATTTCATGAATCAGAACATTTTTCGACGCTTACTACGATTTTTACAATATTTATTAAAGACGTAAAAGCCCGAGTGTATCGAAAGTATCCCGGTATCTCATCTCGGCCCACAACAAACTCGGACTATAATAAACTCGGCCTATTACATAATCGGCATCAAAAATCGGACTATAACAAAATTCGTAATTATACTACTTGCTATTAAGTCTCCCAAACAAAGTTTGGTGACTTATTGTTTTGCTCAGTCCTTATTATTTTTCTTCTTGAGGTCTATTTAGGGGTATTTTTAGGGGACAAAGTTGGGAGGGATTTACTGTAAAACCCTATGGGATTTATTTTTTTTAAATTTTCAAATGACTATAACTTGAAAACAGTAAGTGATAGACACTCGCAGTTTTTAGTAATGATCATAGGATCATACAACAAATCAAATGAAATATAGCGAGAGTCCCTCTGGATCAGCCCCACCCCTCCTGTTTGAGAACTTGTAAACGGTTTAGATCCCCATCCCTAAACCACATATATTCTTGCAAGGGACAATAAAACAAGTAAAAATGTAATATAGGGGGAGTCTCTTGGTGTCACCCCCACCCCATCCTGTTTTGAGAACTTGTAAACGGTCAAGATCCCCACCCCGAAACCATATATATTCTTGTACGGGACAATAAAACAAATCAAATGAAATCAAATGAAATATAGAGGAAGTCCACAGGGGTCATCCCAGCCCCTTATTTTTGAAAAATTGTAAACGATTGAGATCCCCACCCCTAAACCATATATATTCTTGTATGGGGTATGGGACAATAAAACAAATCAAATGAAATAAAAGGCGAATCCCCTGGGGTCACTCCCACCCCTTCCTGGTAATGACTAATTATGGGAGCTTTGTTTGGGAGACTTCGTAACAGCATCATGTTACAATTATTTCTTGTATTCAGTATTTTTTCGGAAAAAAAGTTAAACACACAATCTACACATTTACAACCTATTTGAAATATATATATCTACCGTTGCAAACTTTCCACAGGTGCTATCCAGCACTTTGATTTCTTTTGCAATCGATTAAATTCTGTTTCAAGAATGCTCCGCCAAAATTTTAAGAAAAAATCAACGATAGAATTTTTTCTGCACTTCTGTGTAGACGCAAAAATATTTTCAACTTCTTTATTTCACTTGTATTAAAAGAATTTAGGATATAATTATTTATTTCAACCGTTAACTTGTTACAGCATGCTGATGCCATGGATCAAGGGAACATTTTACAAAAAACCCGGTTAAATTATGACTGTTCGTTCAAAAGTATTGGTACTTTCCTTAAAAGTCCTTATTTATGAAATTTCAGGGTTTTTCCTTCAAATATGCAAATTTTGAACCAAATTATCTCAAAAAGTAAGTCAAGAAGGTATATTTTTCTTTGCATATTTCAAAAGTACACATCGAAATTGACCTTCTACCAAAATTTCAAGAAAAAAAACGAGGGATCTCTACTGTATCGTATGCCCTTAAAAGAAGCTCGAGTCCGATGTCGGAATAGGTAACAAAAGAAACTAAGCAAAATGACAATGATACATAAATTAACAAAGGACTACTAGCAGTTACTGACATGCCATCTCCAGACCTCTATTAAACTGATTGAAAGATTATGTCTTCGTCATATGAAAATCAAACACAATCCATCCCGTTAGGGGTTTAGTATCATACCATCATAAAATATATGAGAAGAACATAACCCGTATCATGCCAACAACTGGTTTTAGAATAAATGCGTTTATTTCCGATGCAAAGACCCTATAAGTGAATCGATATTAATACAAAAATATGCAATCTTTAATGACCTGACAACAGTATCGTAACTATATATCCCTTCTGAATAAGTCTGTTTAAAAATTTGGTTTCCTTTTCAAAAAATGCAAAACTTGTAAAATAAATATATAAGCATAACTTGCATTCATTACTTCATTGTCTAAATAAATTTACAAATCACGAAAGTTGAATTGATCACGTCACATTTTACGTTCAAATCATGTGGTATGCACTGAAACCTTGGTTTTCTCCTTATCAATGGATGTGTCACCGTCGTTCGAGTCAATGGCTGCTTGTAACAAACGCCTAAGCGATTGAAAGATAAGTCAACCAGTTCTTTTGTGCATGTTTTAGTTCTGTTTTGTTCCTTCGGCTTTGGTCTCTGTCATACCCATTACAGTCTGTTTTTTTAAATTATACGCAAATGGTGTCGCGTGATGACATTTTATTGATGTTGCGTTGTCACTTCGGGTTGGTCTAGTTATGATGGTCATTAACAAATCCCGTCTGTCTGTACCGTTGTTGTAAGGACTGTAAGAGGAGAATCTGGCGTGAAATTGTCTAAATAAAATATTTAATTTGCATTTATGCAATTATTACAAATAACAATAGGTAGCCTATGATATAGCACAGAAAATGGCGCTCAAAACTTTTTTGTTGGGGAGAATCCAAGATCTCACTCTTTAGGGGTTTTGAAAGTTTACATCTATGATAATGATTTTGTTGATAAAGGGTCGTAAGGGATGTTCCTTCCTTCTTTCCTCACTTATGTCTTATCATCAAAGGTGACTTGTTACTAGAGTACCTTAAGTTCAGCCCAGGTATCGTCTTGGTACCTGTTTTGACGCGGACCAGAAATGAAAGTACATGTAAGTACAAAACCGATGATAGGTCTAATTCGGTAGGTCACATTCGGGGGGACGGGATAGTAGTTACGACACTATGATTGGAACATATCCGTCGTCACCTGAAAACAGATATTCCATAACGGCCAACCAACTCGCGATGGCGTCCGTAAAATTTACGAATGGATGAATATTCTCTTTAATTTTGCCTTTTTAAACATGCAAAACTTGTAAAATAAATATATAAACATAAATTCCATCATCCATGTCTAGCAACAGCACGTTGACGTATTCCTGTCTGCAACGTTCTTATGGCCTGATTCAGATTTTCGTTGCTCGGTCTCGGCAGTATGGAAATTCAATATTTTTTTTATTAATTTAAGTGAGCTATGGAATGAAAGAAATGTTTCTCGAGGAATTTAAAAAAAAATCCAAATACATTGGTTTCAAATTACGCTTTTCAAGAAATTCGTGCGACGTCAATAATTCGGTATGTTCAATTACTGCAGTTAAGTCAGGTATTGAATTTTTATATACAGAAAGAAGTATGGTAAGCATGAAAACCAATTACATGAAGAATAATCACGGATTGTTAAAAAAAATCAACAAAATGGCGACCATTTGAACACTTAAGGCCGTTTTATAGTTTTTTAAATTGTATTTATAGATGTCAGCGCTCAGATTTTTCTGTTTGGATTACTGGGAGTATAAACAGGCTGATGGAAGTATTATAGTACTCTATATTACTTCCATGGACTGATTAATCTAAGGCTACTAATGTACTTCCCAAATTTTAAATATTACTTTAGGCTGAAAAAAAGCAGTACACTGGAAGTCTTTCAAATTCTGTGTTGTTCTTTTTATTTGTGATATTAAGGTCTAAAACATTTTCAGTGTAATGAAGAAGACATAGGTAATGTGTAATATTCCTTAGTCATACCAGGAACATAAATATTGTTAGATATACTGTTCCCAGGTCATACCACTTCTTACATATCGTATATGCTCGTCTATCACTAAAAAAAAGATTATTTGTTCTATGCATATTGAAAAGACTTTCCGTGTTATAAGTCAAATAAACTTTACTTTAAGCCAATTGCGAAATAGTTTTTGGGAATGAATACTTTTATGTTATCATTATACATGCCTGTGTGTGTGTTTTATTGTTTAAAAGTTACATACTGTACCTTGTTGTGTGGCGATGGTTTGATACGCTTAGCATGTTGTCTAACCCAAATTCAATTTATTTTGAATAAAATATTGTTTAAGCTTAATTCCTTATATATTAGTAAAATTTGTCATGTGTAAATAAACAGAATGGTACAAAAAATAAACATCCTGAATGATGTATGCATATGCACTGGGTAAATCAGTTAAAGCAAATATTGAAATCGATTTCATGAATATGCTTACACAAAGCTTTCCTGGTATGTGGTTTGTCACGTATCCGGGTTTGTCGGGTAAAAGAAAGATAAATTGGGGAAATTCCGATAAAAACCGATCTTTTAAATGTATTGGCATGTTTTCAAATAAATTGTATGGAGCTAAATTTCTTTATAAAAATATTTCTTTAAAATAGGGAATGAAGAAAATGTAAAGTGTGCTTCTATTGAAAATTGGTAAATAATAATTGAATGCTATCATTCAGTCTGTTTGGCTTTAATTCTCAAGATATACCAAGGAAATGTAAAAGGCCTATAAATACTCTACTATAATAAATGCAATAAATTCATGGTCATCCCATAGATATAATAGCCATTATATCTATGGTCATCCGTAACAAATATGAATGGACCAGTATTGGACAATAACTCAACAATACAACAAATAGAGATCTAAATGCCGTTTATTCCGGCATTGATCCCTAGCAATGATTCAATATATACGGAGATAATAAACACTTTTAAAAATTCAAAATTTCAATGTATAAATATTTATATTAATGGGAAGGTCCTCGGAAAAAAATCTAATGATTTTCATTGGCCAATCGTCGAGACAAAAAATTTCTTGTGACCACGTCATCCGGATAATTTACCGTCCGCATTACGATTGTTAGAAAAACCCGGCGAAGATCACATGCGAAGAAGAAACCTTTTCTCATCTCAAATACTAAGTAGAATTTAATTAACAAGTAAAGGATGCCGACTCTAGGGTACTGGAAAATAAGAGGCGTAAGTAGTAACAGTAAATTAGGAACAATACAAATCCCCTCATGTCTTAAGTATATAACTGAGACTACTATAACTGATATAAGGGTAAAATCTAGGACAACACTAGTCCAAATAATGGTATCGGGTCCGTTCGCCCTAATTACAATTTCGCCCTGGGTCCGTTCGCCCTGAGTCCGTTCGCCCATAGAGTCCGTTCGCCCTGGGTCCGTTCGCCCTAATTTTTATAAAAAAAATAATATTAATGGTTTAATTTAAAGTTTTGTAATCTTATTCAGATATGTAAATGGTAAATATTAAAAAATATATCTCCAAATTCATGAATAAACATTGAAATTAAAAAAAAAAGTTTTTGTTTTGGAGCATTAATCAGGCTAATTGGCTTCATTGTTACATTTGTTTTTATTCAGAATTACTTTTAATGACTGTTGATTGTAAATAAACTCATCATAGATACCAAGATTGAAACTTTGTACACCAGACACACGTTTTGTCTACAAAAGACTCATCAGTGACGCTTGAATCAAAATAGTTAGTAAGGCCAAATAAAGTACGAAGTTGAAGAGCATTGAGGACCCAAAATTCCTGAAAGTTTTGCCAAATACAGCTAAGGTAATATATTTCTGAGGTGGAAAAGCCTTAGTATTCCGAAAATTCAAAGTTTTGTAATTTAGAATGCTGATTAGATATGATTACGATGTCTTTGGTCTCACTTTCGCCGCTTAATTGGCTTCTTTGATCTCAAGGTGTTGAGTGAGTTGGATCTTGTTAGACCTGTTTGGATTGTTTTGAAATTGTTACAAGGTTTCAAAAATGATAAATTCATACAGATAACTTTTTGGTCTCCCATTTTCCTGACGGAACACTTCTTCTTCTTCAAAATACTGTCCACATTCAATATGATGAATATTCTTGCAAGAATATTCAATGCAAATCAAAAGAAAAATCATTATCTGGTAGCATCAATACAACATAAATCCTCGTCTCATGGGTTTTCGTGCTATTAAGAATGCATTGTGACGTCACAATTTCCATTGAAAAAGCATGCATAGTACGAATTCATATGACGTACGAAAACGTATGATCTGACCAAATATTTCGGCGGAATTTTCAACAAACTTTAGAAAATAGCAATCAGGGCGAACGGACTCAGTGCGAACAGGAATTAGGGCGAATAGGTACTAGGGCGAACGCGAATCAGGGCGAACGGACCCTGATTCCCAAATAATTATGACGTCTTGAAAGGCTATTTTATTTTTTTTCTGTGACGCTGTCGTAGGAAGGCGTCACAGAAAAAAAAAAAAATAGCCTTTCAAGACTCATAATTATTTGGACTAGGACAACACATAAATAAAATATTTACTAGTCCAAATAATTATGAAAAGCTATTTAATGCCTTAGCCCCACCGGACGCAATTACGACTGGACACAATTACGAACGATTTCAAATGTTTGCCTTCTGAAATCATATTCAATTATGATAATTAATAAATGTTTCTATGTATAAAAACCCTATTAAAGTTCCCTTGTTTTCATGATAATACAATTCATGTGCACTTGGTGAATGTTGATGACGATGACAAAATCATTCTGAAAATATTAAATGGACGACACTCTCGCCTGGAAATTATATTAAAAAAATCATTAAGGTAAGTGCATATTGCCTTCTTTTGTTAATATATAGAAGGAAAAATATCTCCTGATTCTGTTCATATGCGTGATGCCTTTTATCTTGCCCAATTAACCCAAATAATTGACGTTTTTTTAGACTCTTGTGACCCTATTTATTGTCAAAAGAAAATACGGTAACTTTATTGAAAAGTCCAGAGAACTCAGAATGAAATGTTGACCTATATAAAAAAAATCATAGATGAATGATAGGTTCACCAACGAAATGGAGAAACTTGAATTTAGTACTCCTTAAAAGGAGGAACTTACATAAAAACAAAACAATTCCGAAATCTTTCCTTTACACATACGAGACATTTCGTCTGCAACCACTGCTGAAGTATTTGAAGTAAAATACAAACTTGCGCATCTTATTTTCCTCTGGAAATGTGTTTGAGATTAGATTAGAGTATGTTTTATCAATCTAGACTGTTGTCATTGTTTTCCTCTGCAAGATATATTAATATAGCGCTGTTCGGAATTGCGTCCATATTTGGCTCACTTGACCCATAAAACCAGGTCAAGCAAATCTTACTAAAGTATCCTAACGTGAATAGAAAATTATGTGGGATATGATGCAAAATGGAAAGCCTCCATACATCTTAAATTCTATGGAATAAACAATTCCAGAAAAGTAGTCTACATAAAAAAATATTAATCACAGTTCAAAAATCGTTCGTAATTGTGTCCGGTGAGGCTACTGTGCCGCAGTAAGGCGTCAAAGCAAACAAATAAAATAGCCTTTCAAGACGTCATAATCATTTGGACTAAATATTTACATCATGACATGCGCATCCAAAAGTTGCAAAATAATCAGTATATTGATGGTGGCCACAAAATGCTAGAAGTAGAAGTAGAAGTAGAAAACACATACCTGTCAACTTCTGAAAGTGAAAATGCATTAAGTGAAAAATGTTCGGTCATAACACATTCAAACTTTATTTTAGCTAAATTTGACGTATATATTTTAACTACACTTCTGACAGAGTAATTATTTTAAGTTTGCCACTGAACGTAAAGCAATCATCAATCAACATTTCCCTTACTGTTTGTAGCTATAAACATATAATGATTGCAGTGTGTCAGGACAGAAGGATATGACACTTCTATTTCTTGCCAATGAGACCACTGTAATCAAACAGTGTTTTATTAGAGATCCATGACCCCTTAGATTTATATATACAGTACATGAGAGGATATAAAAAGTGTTATTCAATTTATTAACCCTGCTGGAGGATATATTTGATTCTCATGGAGGGTGGAGTTAAAAAAGGTTTGCTTTTGAAAAATAAAAAAAGTAAAAAGTTGTTTGCACCAACTGCTGTTTAGTTTCACATTACCACTTCATTGTTTATTGTTTCTACTATTTCAGCTAGCACAGCCAGTTAGATTGTTACAGAACTATGCTGGAGAAGACTTTGAAGATGTCCAATATGAACAAGGAGATGGTAATCTTATTTTAAAATAATTTAATCTTTTGGTTCCATATGATACTCCAGGACATGTTATTTATCATGCATAAAGGCATGGTAGGTGTCAACTCTCCCAGATATTTTCCAAAATTTCAGTAATCTCCCGCTCTGCCTATCTTCTGCTATGTGCAAAATTATCACCCACTCATTCAGAATGCGTTGTAATTAACTCAAGATTTAAATTATTCGGTTTTCTTTTACCAGCTGTTCACACATTCTTGGGAAAGAAAGAGAGAGAGAGAGGCCTTTAACATAGCATGAAACAAGTGCCTGTTGTTTATCAAAAAGATTTCTCATTTTGTCAAAATTAGTGGTCAGAAGCTTATTTTGTGTTACTATGACTGAACCGTCTGAAAGTCTGTTAAATGTTAATAGCTGCAGTGCTAAATCAGCTGCTTTTATATACAACAACACAAAATGTAACTGAAACGTCATCTTCAAAATAAAATATTAAATTTGCTTTTATGCAATTATTACAAATAACAATAGGTAGCCTATGATATGGCACAGAAAATGGCGCTATATTAAATTCCCCCAAAACTTTTTTGTTGGGGAGAATCCAAGATCTCACTCTTTAGAGGTTTTGAAAGTTTACATCTATGATCATGATTTTGTTGATAAAGGGTCGTAAGGGATGTTCCTTCCTTCTTTCCTCACACTGATGTCTTATGATCAAAGGTGACTTGTTACTAGAGTACCTTAAGTTCAGCCCAGGTGTTTGGTTGGGTTGGTGTTGTTTAATCCTTTGTGTTCTATATAGAGTTTTGCCAACTTTAGTTTGTCATCTTGTTTTACTTCTTTTGGACATTTTGATAATTTTCAATTTTCAGCCTATAGTTTTGATAGCTGCCTAAGTACTTCCTATCCAATAGACATTGTTAAGCAATAAAAGCACTATTCCTTTACTTTTTGTGTTTTTTTGCTGTGCATGAACTGATTTTGTGTCATAAATGAATACCCCATTACCTTTCTTTTCTGTTGACAGTATTTCCCTGTTCAATCGAGGAAATGGTTGAGACATTTTTTATAAAAGAAAGCATTCCACATATCAGATTTATTGACCTGAGAATATAAAAAAGATAAATAAGATACCAAAACAGCAATCAAAGATCATAAATGCACAATACCATGACCACAAAACTGCATAACGTGAAAAACTTACAGAAGACAACACAGAAAACTAAAGATTGAGCAACCTTTACCCCACCAAAAAATAGGGGGTGTTCTCAGGTGCCCTTTGACTGACCTTGGAAGACCTTCATGGGTAGTTAAGGTTGTAAAACACCCCATAATTTTTATACGACCGCAAAAAAATTTTGTGGTCGTATATTGGTATGACGTTGGCGTCGTCGTCGTCGTCGTCGTCGTCGTCCGGCGTCGTCGTCCAAATACATATTGGTTTTCGCACTCTAACTTTAGTTTAAGTGAATGGATCTTTTTGAAATTTGACCATAAGGTTAAATACCACAAAAGGAAGGTTGGGATTGATGTTGGGGGTAATGGTACCAACAGTTAAGGAATTAGGGGCCAAAAAGGGGCCAAAAATGAGCATTTTCTAGTTTCCAGACAATAACTGTGGAACGGTGTATGGATCTCTCTGAAATTATACTACAAGTTTCCATACCACAAAGGGATGGTTAGGATTTGCTTTGGGGGGTTATGGCTCAAACCGTTTAGGAATTAGGGGCAAAAAAGGGGGAAAAACAAGGTTGTCCTGGTTAATGGACAAATACTTTAGTACAAAACATAATTTAAAGCAGTGTAAGGGAGATAAATCAAATAAATCATTGAAATTATCTCCCTTACACTGCTTTTAAATTATGTATAAAGTAATGGTTAATGAACAATAAAGATAATCTAAAACAGTGTAAGGGAGGTAATCCAAATACAACGTTTTGGTTACTTCCCTTACTCTGCTTTTAAATTATGTTTAAAGAAATGCATATTTATAAAGGAAGACCAGTAAAAATATCTGCAAATGTTTTCATCTTTTTATTTTACAAAAAAATCCATATGAAAGATTTGACACTATATTTTTATTAATTCTATTATAAAATAGATTAAGTTAGCACTATGGTAAATTTAAATGGGTAATTATGGTTGCCAACTCCATTGGAAATTTGAATTGAGATTATGACCATATCTTGAGGGAAAGAATTTTTTTGGGGGAAAAAGGGGGGGGGGGATAAAAAGAAATTGTGGGGGGCCAATTTTTTCTCATTTCAGATTTAAGAAATTAAAAAGAATTATTCTTCAAATTTTATTTTTTTTTCAAATTTCAAATATTGAAAAATTTCAAGAAGTAATCTTTAATTGCACAGTATGGCGCATTAGATTTGTAAAATATTTGATCACATTTATTTATTTGTTATGCCGAATCTAACAGTGTATTTAGATTTTTAATTTTGGGTCCAGTTTTCAAATTGGTCTACATTAATGTCCAAAGGGTCCAAAATTAAACTTTGTTTGATTTTAGCAAAAATTGAATATATGAGGTTCTTTGATATGCTGAATCTAAACATGTATTTAGATTTTTGATTTTTGGCCCAGTTTTCAAGTTGGTCCAAATTGGGGTCCAAAATTAAACTTTGTTTGATTTCAACAAAAATTGAATATATGGGGTTGTTTGATATGCTGAATCTAACCATGTATTTAGATTTTTTATTTGTGACCCCGTTATCTAATTGGTTCATATTGAGGTCAAAAGGGTCCAAAATTAAACTTAGTTTGATTTTAACAAAAATTGAATTCTTGGGGTTCTTTGATTTGCTGAATCTAAACATGTGTTTAGATTTTTGATTATGGGCCCAGTTTTCAAGTTGGTCCAAGATAGGGTCCAGTATTTAAACTTTGTTTGATTTCAACAAAAATTGAATATATGGGGTTCTTTGATATGCTGAATCTAAACATGTATTTAGATTTTTGATTATGGGCCCAGTTTTCAAGTTGGTCCAAATTGGGGTCCAAAATTAAACTTTGTATGATTTCAACAAAAATTGAATATATGATGTTCTTTGATATGCTGAATCTAACCATGTATTTAGATTTTTTATTTGTAGGCCCCGCTATCAAATTGGTTCATATTGAGGTCAAAAGGGTCCAAAATTAAACTTTGTTTGATTTCATCGAAAATTGAATTATTGGGGTTCTTTGATATGCCAAATCTAACCGTGTTTTTAGATTTTTAATTTGGGTCCCGTTTTTTAAATTGGTCTTCATTGAGGTCCAAAGGGTCCAAAATTAAACTTAGTTTGATTTTAACAAAAATTGAATTCTTGGGGTTCTTTGATATGCTGAATCTAAACATGTATTTAGATTTTTGATTATGGGCCCAGTTTTCAAGTTGGTCCAAGTTGGGGTCCAAAATTAAACTTTTTTTGATTTCAACAAAAATTGAATATATGGGGTTCTTTGATATGCTGAATCTAACCATGAATTTAGAATTTTTATTTGTGGGCCCCGCTATCAAATTGGTTCATATTGAGGTCAAAAGGGTCCAAAATTAAACTTTGTTTGATTTCATCAAAAATTGAATTATTGGGGTTCTTTGATATTCCAAATCTAACCGTGTATTTAGATTTTTAATTTTAAGTCCTGTTTTTTAAATTGGTCTACATTAAGGTCCAAAGGGTCCAAAATTAAACTTAGTTTGATTTTAGCAAAAATTGAATTCTTGGGGTTCTTTGATATGCTGAATCTAAACATGTGTTTAGATTTTTGATTATGGGCCCAGTTTTCAAGTTTGTCCAAGTTGGGGTCCAAAATTAAACTTTGTTTGATTTTAACAAAAATTGAATATATGGTGTTCTTTGATATGCTGAATCTAACCATGTATTTTGATTTTGGACATTGGACCATAATAGGTAAATTAAAAAAATTCAAGTTCTTAGACCACATTCTTTCTGTGTCAGAAACCTATGCTGTGTCAAATATTTAATAACAATCCAAATTCAGAGCTGTATCAAGCTTGAATGTTGTGTCCATACTTGCCCCAACTGTTCAGGGTTCGACCTCTGCGGTCGTATCAAGCTGCGCCCCAGCGAAGCATTTTATTTGTAGATGTTTTGAATGGTAACAGATAATACAAAGTAAAGAAAAAAATATTAGTTGACAGTCATACTTAATTTAAAAGATGTATTATTCCTTTGTTACTTTTCAGGTCCAGAATTCAGCAGAGAGTGCTGGACCTCTGTCAAGAACACATTAGGACTTCCTTTCCCAAATGTAAGTATAGATACTTGTAACAATGATTCCTTATTGTCTCGCCTTGACAGAGTCATAAAGGGAGACATAGGTATGCTGTTTCCGGCGTCGACGGTGGCGGCGTCAACAATGTATTAGTTTGTGATTAGGTCTAGTGTATGGTGAACCACTAGTGGTAGGTCAATGATATTTGGTATGCAGTGGTATAAGCATTGGCACATCTCATTACCATGGAGATTATTTGGCCCCGCCCCCTCAGTTATGGTCTGTTGACTTTGAAATTTTGCTTAGTTTAAATGTATTAGTTTGTGATTAGGTCAGTTTATGGGGAACCACTAGTGGTAAGTTAATGATGACTGGTATGCAGTTGTATAAGTGTTGGCATATCTCATTTCCATGGAGATTATATGGCGCGGCCCCCTCATTCATGGTCTATTGACTTTGAAACTTTTGCTTAGTTTTCATGTATAAGTTTGTGATTAGGTCAGTTTATGGGGAACCACTAGTGGTAGGTCAATGATAATTGGTATGCATTTGTATTAGCATTGGCATATCTCATTACCATGGAGATTTTTTGACCCCGCCCCCTCAGTTATGGTCTATTGACTGAAACTTTTGCTTAATTTTCATGTATTAGTTTGTGATTAGGTCAGTTTATGGGGAACCAGTAGTGGTAGGTAAATGGTATTTGTTATGCAGTTGTATTAGCATTGGCTCATCTCATTTCCATGGAGATTATTTGGCCCCGCTCCCTCAGTTATGGTCTATTGACTTTGAAATTTTGTTTAGTTTACATGTATTAGTTTGTGTTTAGGTTTGTTTAAAGGGAACTACTTATGATAAGTCAATGGTATTTGGTATGCAGTTGTATTAGCATTTGCACATCTCATTTCCATGGAGATTGTTTAGCCATGTACCTTCAGTCATGGTTCATTGACTTCTAATATTTACAAAACTTACATGTTAAAGTGTTGCTATTTTAATTTCAACATTTGCATTATCGAAATTACAAAAAGGCGAGACATATCTCCGTGTTAACAGTTTATTTGTATGTTAAGTTTAAAAAAAGAGTTTTAGAAATTAAATATTTGTCCCTGATATCTTTGTATACTTAAAGTTTGTTAAGCAAAACCTACTGCAGCCTGGGTCAAATATACTATAGTTACATGTACTGCACATTGATTTTTGTTTTTATTTACTATCTAAACATGTACTACACGAGACACAAATGCAATAACTTTTGGACACAATGAATGTGAAACAGAAACACCTGTTACTAACAAGCAATAAAGTTTTAGACAACAATTCATCACAGCATTCTAATTGAAATGAAATTATTATGACTATAAACCCAAAAATAAACAAAGCACCACAGTTTACAAGAACTAGTTCAATTAGGAACAAAATGGTTAAATATAAAAATAAGGAGATATAGAGGGTACAATTGCCAATGCGACAACTTTCCTTTTGCATAATATCAATCAGGACAAAATCCTGTTTTGGATGTTTACATTTTAACAATTGTTTTATTCTGTAAATAAAATTCAATTACACTGCAAATTAGGAAATTTTTGCATTCATCTATTATTATTAATTGCAAAATGTGAGATGAATTATTGCAATTTCAGGAAAAGCTGCATATAAATCGTGCTATCAAAATTTAGACTGCAGGATTTTTTTAAGAAACCTATCCAATTGCAATTCACTAAATATTTTGATGTAACTTTGATTTGTTAACAAGGCCTTTATCTGAAATATTGTTTTCATTTTATTAAGGGATCACTGTATTTTATTTCAATGAATGTAATAAAAGCTTTCATCAAAGGGCATGGAAAGATTTTTTTGTTTTAACACCTTTTTGATATTCTTATTAGATAAGGATAGTGTTGTTGTAGATAGTTATATCAAAGTGGAAACAACTACAAGTAGAAACTTGACCATTGATTGAATACACAGTTTTATTTCAAAACCATACTTTTGTGCATACTTTAAGAAGTTGTTATAAACAGAGAAAAAAATGACTGAATCTTCATTAATTTTGAAATTCAACAAGTGACAGGAGAAAACATTAATTCAAGAATGCACCTACATGTAGATCATGAGTGAATTATCAAGGGTTGAATATTTTTTAATATTTTAATACTTCGATTATTCTTTTTATTGCATTGACTTTCCAGGTAATCATTAAGAAAATGCAAGGAACTATATCTTTTTTCATGCATTCTAACTAAGTTTTGATTCACTTTATTGAAGATATCTTGACAGTTATTTTTGTTGTATGATTTCAGAGCAGTGAAAATACAGGATTTATTTCAATTATGAAATACTGGTGTTTATTCAGTCTAATAAAATAAAATCTCCACACTCGTTCAACATGGGCGCAGTGACCAAGCAGACAAAACGGAGCAAGTGCGGATATTTAATTTTAAGTATATTGGTGTTTATTTGACTTGGAAATTTGTTATTTCATTGCAAATCATGTAATAAGTTGTATGTATCTTTTAACAAATTAATTATTTTTCAAAATGTTGTATTTTTCAGCTACCATATTACATAGATGGTGACATTAAAATCACACAGAGTAACTCAATCCTAAGATACATTGCCAAGAAACATGACTTGTGTAAGATAAAATACTTTAGTATAAACCAATTCTTCATTATGTATAAGCATGTAAGAGTTTTCCTCCATGTTTCCAAAAGTAATATTAATTTAAGAAATTTTTTTTATACCCCCGCTTTAAAAAAGTGGGGTTATACTGTTTTACCTCTGTCTGTCCGTCCGTCCATCCGTCCGTCCCATGAATATTTTTCGTCGCAGCTTTCTCGGTAACTACATCATATGGATTTCTGAAATTTGGTTTCAGGGTTTATATAAGTCAGCTATACCATGTGATGCGTTTTCAGATTCATCTCTCAACAACTTCCTGTTTACCAAAATATTTGGGTTGGGGTATCATCAGTGAGCAGTAGCTCGCAGTTTCACTTGTTTTTCATGTTATGCTCTGTGCTTCTTTTAAAAAGAGTAGTCATTATATGTGTCTATAATTCTTATTATTGTAAATATCTTAATGCCTTATGTGCTTTAGTTGTTAATATCTTTACTCTGTGTAATATATAGACAATATTTTTACAATGTGTAAAATGTTAAAAATTATCATTAATGGCATATTAAAATGAGCATAGGGCATCCCATGATAAAATTATTTTGATTCTGGAGGACATATGCCGGCATGTGTAGCTTTTTCAACTGGGTTTTCCAAGGGAAAATCCTAAATGAAGAGTGAAAATCTCTCATTTCTCATTTCCATGGAGGTTATTTAACCTGCACCTTAAGTCATTGTTCATTGATATTGAATGTTTTGCTTAGTTTACCGGTACATGTTTAGATATTGCCATTTTAATTTCATCATTTACATTTTACTATCAAAATTACCAAAAGCAAGACATGTCTCTGTGGTAACAGTTTATTAATGTATCACCTTGGCAAAGTCAAAGGTAAGAAAATATTGAGAAAAATATGTGTTATGAATATATTTTTGAAGAAAAATATATTTTTGGGTAAGACTGATGCTCATCTTTACATTTATGTTATGATCTTATAATGAAGCAATGTTTGCAAGTTCCCTTAAATGCATGGTAATATTTTATAAGTTAGGATATTTTTTTATTTTCAAATTCAAATATTATAAACTACTGCGTCAATGCCACTGCTGGTGGAGGTTTCCATTCCAAGGGTATCACCAGCCCAGTAGTCAGCACTTCTGTGTTGACATGAATTATCATTGATATGGTCATATCTTTTTAAAATTAACTGTTTACAAAACTTCAAATTTTTTGAAATACTAAGGATTTTCTACCCCAAGAATTGATTACCTTAGCTGTATTTGGCAAAACATTTCTGTTTTTTTGGTCCTCAATGCTCTTCAACTTCCTACTGTATTTGGCCATTTTAACTTTTCTTTTTTGATTCAAGCTTCACAGATAGTCTTTTGTAGACAAAAAGTGTCTGGCATAAAAAAATTGAATCCTGGTATCTACAATGAGTTTATTATTAAAGGTGCTTTAATCATATCTTCTCTCTCTTCTGCTGAACAAAAACTAACACTAGTTATTAACACATATGGTCACTGATAAACAATGTATAATTCTGTGAATAGCTTTGTAGATTTGATCTTTGTATTTTTTCGATTGCCTGTATGTGGAAATTGCAATAATTGACAAGATATGGATTGTTTCTTTAATGGTAATCATGAAAAATTTCCATACCACATGTATGATTGTTAACATAGCACTCACAAACTTTGTTATTTCAACTTCATAATATGGAAATTACCATAAAAATCAGCGATGGATACTAGATTTTGGTCTAAAGTAGTTTTTACTGTACATTTAATTAGGGCTTCAGCTAAAAATAACTGTTTCTTTAGGTGAATGGAATGATTGTGAAGTTTTGATTAATGACCTTAATATATGATATATTTGTATTAAAAGTGTAGGTGTGCATTGGAAAGTGAACCATTGATAGTACATTTGTACCAACATTCACTTAAAAAAACCTAGTAGCAAAATATATATATTAATATAGCATCAGTATGATTTATCTATTATGTTTGATTACAGTGGGCAAGACGACACAAGAAGTAGTTGATTGTGATGTAATGTTAGAGAATGCCATGGACTTCAGAAATGGGACTGTTAGATTAGCTTACAATAGTGACTATGTAAGTAGAATTACAGTGAAATCAGTCCCTACCAAACCACTTACAAACTGAAGCTTTGTTCAATGAATACAGGTTTACAATAAATTGATGTTGGTATAAAGGAATTAGGAGTCAGTCAGGTTTAGACAGGCTTCCAATTTAGCCAGGGTTCTGTTTAGACAGGTTTCTGGAGTAGTCTGGTTCAGTTAAGACAAGTTTTCGATTTAGTCAGAGTTCCATTTCTACAGATTTTCAATTTATTTAGAATTTTGTACACAGGTTTTACTGTATTATAATTTATCATTAATTTAGCTGTTGAAATAGCCAACATAGGTACTGCACTGAAACTTCTATCTGATGACCTGTTTTTAATATCCTGTATCACACCTGTGTTTGGAATACCTTAAATATATGATAAGTGAACAAAGCATAAAATAATTTGTACCATATTTACCAACCATCATTCAATATAAGCCCTCAGGTTTTGCCCTCAGGCTGTATTATATCTTCCTTATTTATACAGCCTGTGATACATATTTTGCTAGGTATTATACTCAAGTTAGCTTTAATACATTGTAAATATAATACTGATTGAAATTTCAGGTCATTTTTTTGTTATTATTAAAACAAATACATCTTGAATTTGACTATGCTTAAACTTAATACATTTTTGTTTGTAAAATGGAATATTTCCATAGTACATGTATGGCTGAAAATAAAATATTGTAAAGAAAATTTAGATTTGATGTGAGAAAAATTCAGGACATGAAGTGTTTTAAGTTTCATGTACTCTTTCATATTAAACATGATTATTTGCTTGCTATGTTATTCAAATTTCATATAAAACAAATATATGTATCATTACATTTTAATTACAGGAAAAATTAAAAGAAGACTACTTCAAAAATTTGCAGCCAATGCTGGAAAAATTTGAAAATTTTCTTGGAAATAAGAACTTTTTTACTGGAGCTAATGTAAGTATACACAACTTAAGTTACCTCACTTTGTAACAAACATTTGTTAAAGGTATTTGAGGTAAAAGTAATAAGATATTTGAGGTAAGAGTGATAAGGTATAAGAGTTAAAGGTTATAGGGTATTTGGGGTAAAAGTAATATTAAATGGGATCCCGAACAAAACACTAAATTAATAATCTACAATGCTTATTCAGATTGGATAACCATCTTTTCTGTAACTCCTAATTACACCCTGCTTAAGATATATGCAATGCATTCTTTCTTCAGTCTGTCTGTCAAATATCACATTTTAGTTTGGGTTTAAGGTTCTTTACCATGAAGTTGTTTCACATCAAGTTGATACTTAAATGTCCATTATGAGGTAAATCATTTCATGATATATGGCAGATACACAGGATGGGTGCCACATGTGGAGCAGAATCTGCCTACCCTTTGAAGCTCCTGAGCACCCCTGGTTTTTGGTGGGTTTGGTGTTGCTCAGTCTGTAGACTTCTATGTTGTGTTTAGTGTACTGATGTTTTTTCGTTTTTTGCCATTGCATTGTCAGTTTGTTTTTCGAATTATGAGTTTGAATACCTTTTTGGTATCTTTCAACTCTATTTTTTAGGAAACCGACCCACATTTTCGGGGTTTCATGGAACTTGAAATTTGTGTGTGTAATGAGATATGGTGTCCTATTGACACATACTCATGTTAAATGACTCAGTTTTATTAAAGTGTGTTCTTGTCTTACATTTTTATAAGACCGCAAAAATTAAAAAAAATTTGATTGTATATTGGTATCACGTTGTCGTCATTGTCAGCGTCGTCCGAAGACAGATGGTTTCCGGTTAATAACTTTAGTATAAGTAAATAGAAATCAATAAAATTTTAACACAAGGTTTATAACCACTAAAGGAAGGTTGGGATTGATTTTTGGGGTTATGGTCATAACTGATTATGAATTAGGGGCCAAAAAGGGGCCCAAATAAGCATTTTTGTAGTTTCCAGACAATAACTTGTGTTAAAGTGTATGAATCTCTCTGAAATTATACCACACGTTTCCATACTACAAAGGGATGATTAGGATTGACTTTGGGGGGTTATGGCTCTAACCAATTAGTAACTAGGGGCAAAAAAAGGGGAAAAACAAGGGTTTTTCTGGTTAAAGGACAATTGAGACAATTTAAAAGCAGTGTAAGGGAGGTAATCCAAATCAATTAAAAGAACACTGTTTGATTACCTCCCTTACACTGCTTGTAAATTATGTATTAAGAAATGATGATTGTTGTGAGGTGATTAGCTGTCAATTTATTTTTAGCAGTTACTATTAATTAATATTAATTTTAGCCATGACTATGTATGTCATTATATATTTTAAAACTTTTATGATGTATTTAAATGGTGTTATAGTTGCAAACTCCATTAGAAATTTGAATTGAGATACTGACCATATCTTGAGGGAAAGATTTTTTTGGGGGGAACAAGGGAAAGGGGGGAGGTGAAAAAAATTGGAGGGGACGGGGGCAATTTTCTCATTTCAGATTTCAGAAATTAAAAGAAAATTTCTTCAAATATTTTTTTTGGGGGGTTAATATTCAACAGCATAGTGTATTGCACAAAAGCAAAAAACCGGGGTAATTTTTTTTTTTTTTGGGGGGGGGGGGGTCAATTCACAACAGCATAGTGTATTGCACAAAAGCAAAAAATTGAATATAAATTCAAATCATATAATCAATTTGAAGTTCTTTGACTACAGTTATTCTGTGTCAGAAACCCATTATGTGACAAAAATTTAGTTACAATCCAAATTCAGACCTGTATCAAGCGTGAATATTGTGTCTATTTTGGCCCCAACTTTTCAGGGTTGGACATCTGCGGTTGTATCCAGCTGCCCTCAGCGAAGCAATTTATTTTATTCCAATGATTCTATAGAAAAAAATTGGCTTTTATATTGTTTGATGTAAACATACTAAATGTGGACAAAGTTGGAAATGTTTTTCTGAACACACTTCTTACAGTTCTGTTTTTCATATTACAGGTTACTGTTTGTGACTTTCCAATGTATGAATTGTTAGACCAGCACAAAATAATGAAGCCAGGAATCCTAGATCCATACCCAAAGTTGTCTGCCTTTGTTGGAAGATTTGAAGCACTTCCTGCCATAAAGAAGTACATGTCTTCTGATAAGTTCATGAAAAGACCAATCAACAACAAGTCCGCAAGCTTTAAATAGATTTCACAATGTGTAATGAACATTGATATCGGTGAACATAGTATAGATTGAATAAGTGTTTATGTATTGATAGTGCTATTTCAAAATATAATGTAGATAAAGTCTTAAAGGTATTGGGAAAAATGTGTTAATTGGTTTACTCCAACCTCTAATTGACCAGGCTTTATAGAATACAGAGAATTTTTGAAAAGTGTACTTGTAAAAATGTTAAGTTACTTTTTCAATGCAGTATGTTAAGATGAATTACAGATCAAAGTTTTGTTGTGGGTAACCTACTTTTAATAGGTCATTGCATCTAACAAGTTTTAATGCTATTGTTTGTTATTAGAATTTTGTATTGAGTTGTATGATGAGGAGTTGCAGGTCAAGTGTTCATGTTGTTTTCTTTGACAAAATTTTAGTCATTGTTCACATCTTCATGATGCCTTCAGTGGGTTGGGAATTTGTAGGGGAAGCCATACATGTTGTACCCTATTCATCAACACTGTAATATTATTATTATCTCTGGTGTACCAATTATTTTAAGACTTTGTTGTTCATAAAAACTATTTGACAAATTATGCATAAATGCCTATAGGAGATTTTTATTTTGTTGTACACTAAAGTCATAGTTTACCACTCACTGTACACAGGAAACCATCGAAAATAAGTATCGCACGAATTTCCACAGTATTCTGGAAACATTTTATAATGTCATTTTTTGTATGTTTTATTGACAGCTTTATTTAAATTGTATTATTATACATGATGTAAATTGTTTGGTGTATCTGTCACAGTACAGAAAGATTAAGGGTTAGTAAAACTCTCAAATATATCACACCATGTTTTCGTTAGAAATTTCAATTTTGTTGAGAAACATTTAATTTTTTTAAAGTCATTTTAGACTCACCTCAACAAAGTCTCAGAGAAAGACTTACTGGTTTGCCCTTAGAGCTTTCAATTATTGTTCAGCATTTAAAATATTATCTTTTTTCAATAAACATTGAAATTATACAACAGTCTCAGTTACGGTGACATAGTCCTCAAAATATCTATGTTAGGTTATTGTGAGAATATCTGTGGTTTGTATAACAATGTTAATGTTTATATTATTGTATGTGTTATGAGTTTGACTTTAAATGCATAATTGCAGGTCCTCATAGAATTTTCTTTCATTGGTATTGTGGGGTAAGATCTGACAAAATGGTCCTGTTTAACTTTTGCAAACCTGTTTTTTTTTTCATTTTACAATACATGTATTGGAATGTTAACAATTTTACAACATACAATGTCCAACCATAAATTTCAAAAATTCTGCATTTATTTTTTGCAATAAATAGATATAGCTTTGATATGATTATTACATTCCATATTTTGACATACTAGTTTTAAGTATTTGTTATGAATTCTATACAAAATTAAAGATGTTATAAAATCTGTACTTTTTTATGCTAGATATTTAGATGATACTTTTTAATCCTGACATGTTTATCCAGTTTTATTGTACTAGACTTTATATTATAGATTTAAAAAAAAAAGATAATGGAAACTCATTGGTATTAAAATAGAAAATAAACATCATTTTCACTACTTTGTCTTTGTATTTTTATCTCGCCTGGCCCACTTGGTGAACATTCCCTATTCTTTATCTATAAAGTCTGTAAACTCTCATGAAAACTACAGTTTTCTGTCAGTTAATCATATAATGAGAGGTTAATTATTACAAATGAGTTTTGTAATGATTGGAATTAACATATGAAAAATTCAACAAACAAGTTTTTATACGACTGCAAAAAATTTTTGTGGTCGTATATTGGTAAGACGTCGGCCTCGTCCTAAGACACATTGGTTTTCGCACTCTAACTTTAGTTTAAGTAAATGGATCTCTATGAAATTTTGCCATAAGGTTCAATACCACAAAAGGAAGGTTGGGATTGATTTTGGGGGTTATGGTACCAACAGTTAAGGAATAAGGTGCCAAAAAGGGGCCAAAAATAAGCATTTTTGTAACTTCCAGACAATAACTTGTGTGTAAGTGTATGGATCTCTCTGACATTACACCACAAGGTTCCATATCACACAGGGAATGCTGGGATTGATTTTGGGGGTAATTGTCTCAAAATATTAGGAATTAGGGGCAAAAAACAAGCATTTTTTCTAGTTTCAATACAATAACTTGTGTGTAAGTGTATGGATCTATCTGAGATTGTACTACAAGGTTTCATATCACAAAGGGAAAGCTGGAATTGAGTTTGGGGGTAATTGCCCAAAACGTTTAGGAATAAGGGGCCAAAAAGGGGCAAAAATAAGCATTTTTCTAGTTTCCAGACAATAACTTGTGTTCAAGTGTATGGATCTCTCTGAAATTGTACTGCAAGGTACCGTACCACAAAGGGAAGGATGGGATTGATTTTGGGGGTAATTAATTCAAAATTTATGGATAAGGGGCCAAAAAGGGGCAAAAAACAAGCATTTTTCTAGTTTCAGGACAATAACTTGTGTGAAAGTGTATGGATCTTTATGAAATTGTACTACAAGGTTCCATATCACAAAGGGAAAGCTTGGTTTGAGTTTGGGGGTAATTGCCCAAAACGTTTAGGAATTTAGGGCCAAAAAGGGGCCAAAAAACAAGCATTTTTCTAGTTTCCAGACAATAACTTGTGTTCAAGTGTATGGATCTCTCTGAAATTGTACTGCAGGTACCGTACCACAAAGGGAAGGCTAGGATAGAGTTTGGGGGTGATTAATCATAAGGGGGTTCAAAAAATTTGGGGGGGGGGGGGGGGGGGGATTTTTTTTTCTTTAAAATTTTCCATTTTAAATTGGTTATTTCGGATTTATATATAAAGGCAAATAATGATATGGTTTGAATAGGTAAATTAAAATTTTTTAAGTTCTTAGACCACATTCATTCTGTGTCAGAAACCTGTGCTGTGTAAAATATTTAATCACAATCCAAATTAAGTGTTGTATCAAGCTTGAATGTTGTGTCCATACTTGCCCCAACTGTTCAGGGTTCGACCTCTGCGGTCGTATCAAGCTGCGCCCAGCGGAGCATTTTATTAAGCAGTAATAATGGGATATGAATAAAAAGAGAAATAGGGTATACATCAATGAGACAGCAACCCAAGGACAGAAATAATCAAATGACATCTTAATATCAGTATATAGTATTCATTCTGCCCCTCAAGACCAGCTGTGGATGGGCTCAATTTAATATGGGTTTTTTCCCAGTCTGCAAAGCATTGCAGGATACATATTAATACTTGGCATTAACCTGGCTTGTAAGCTAGTCTCGTGCATACAAAATTTCTCTCCAGATTTGTATGAATTGTATTAAAGATTTATATTAGCAATGTCTTGGAGAATTCAGTGCTGATCAATTATTTTTTACCAGGAGCTATACCCCTTGGAAATATAAAACATTGAATTGCTTTGTAAGCCCTTTCAATCCTACTTTTCTTGTAGGATCTTGTGAAATTTATATGCAAGGTTTATACCAACAATGTACTAGACGAGTTTGATTTATGTCTCTTGAAAATGTAAATACTACAGAAAATAGCATTGTAAGCATTCTCCACCCTACATTCCTTGCCACATTTTTATGAAATGTATGTCAGGTTTCTATCAGTGATGTCTTGGATAAGCTAGATAATCATGTTGTGCAACTATTCTTCCAGGCGTCATGACCCTTGGAAATAGAAATTATATAGAAAATTGCAGTTTGAGCAATCTCACACATACATTTCTTGTAGGATATTTTATCAAAATGTTAAATAAAATAAAAAAAAGATATTAGAGCTATTGCCCTTTGTCTAATAAAATATGTGCATCAGCGGGGCACATTGGAAAGTTGTTTGTTTATTGTAAAGGGGATCGGGGTAAGGGAAACTCCTTATCAAACATTTTCTAATGGAGTTTCAAAAGGAGTTTTCTGCTTTCATAGGCAACCTGCTGTTGTTGTCGAGCCTGCAAGTTTTGTAGCAGAAAGCTCGACATAGGGATAGTGATCCGGCGGCGGCGGCGGCGTTAGCTAACTTCTTAAAAGCATTATATTTTAGAAGCTAGAAGACCTGGATGCTTCATACTTTGTATATAGATGCCTTATGTTACGAAGTTTCTGTCTGTCATATGTCCATTGTCCTTGACCTCATTTTCATGGTTCAGTGACTACTTGAAAAAAAAGTCAGTTTTTTTTTGTAATGTTAATTTCTTTCTTATTATGAGTAATAGGATAACTATATTTAGTATGTGCGTACCTTGCAAGCTCCTCATGCCCATCAGACAATTTTCATTTGACCTCGACCTCATTTCATGGATCGGTGAACAAGGTTAAGTTTTTCGTGGTCAAGTCAGATACTATAAGCAGTAGGTCTACTATATTTGGTATATGGAATGATATTAAGGTGTACATGTCCAACTGGTAGGTGTCATCTGACCTTGACCTCATTTTCATGGTTTAGTGGTCAAAGTTAAGTTTTTGAGTTTTGGGTCTTTTTTTCTAATACTATATGCAATAGATCAACTATATTTGGTGTATGGAAATATTTTATGATGTACATGTCAGTCTCGTAGGTTATATTTGACCTTGACCTCATTTTCACGATTCATTTCTCAGTGTTAAGTTTTTGTGTTTTGGTCTGTTTTTCCTCAACTATAAGCAATAGATCAACTACATTTGTTCTATGGAAGGATTGTAAGGTGCATATGTCTGTCTGGCAAGTATCATCTGACCTTGACTTCATTTTCATGGTTCATTGGTCAATGTTAAGTTTTCATGGTTAAGTTTGTTTCTTAGATACTATAAGCAATAGGTCAAATGTATTTAATGCATAAATTGATTGTAAGGTGTACATGTCTATCTGGTAAGGTTCATTTGACCTTGACCTCATTTTCATGGTTCATTAGTCAATGTTAAATTTTCTTGGTTAAGACTGTTTCGTAGAAACTATAAGCAATAGGTCAACTATGTTTGGTTTATTGAATGATTGTAAGGTGTACATGTATTTCTCATTTGGTTTATCTGACCTTGACCTCATTTTCTTGGATCATGTTAAGTTTATGTGTTACTTGTAGTAAAGGTTTATATTTAGGACTATCAACATAAAATCAATGGTTAGTAAAGAAGGCCAGACATTTCAGTGTGTGCACTCTTGTTTTAGTTTTAAGCATCCATAGAAATAATTGCATTCATTGAATCCATGTGACATGTTCAGTCCTAAATAACTAGTCCTAACAGAATGACAATACTAGAAATATAAATTTTGAACCATTTAAGGAGGAATGATGATACTTAGTTGATTGCTGACCACCACAAGAGGGCGAGTTGCAGTAATTGTTTGAAAAATTATCTTGGCCTTGGTGACCATTTGACTCAGCAATATCATCAACATCTACTTTAACAATCTATTAATTCATGTCTACTTCTATAATTACTAATATCTATTTTGACAACCCCAGGCTTCAGAGCCTCCAAGAGGGTTAGAAGGAATAAGATGTGGATCCAAAAAATTATCTTTCTAGAGAGAACATACAAAATCTAAGTTCCACTCCTAGTGCAAATGTGTAACTTTTTGATTTTTTTACCTTTTACCTTTTACGCAAAATTAAGAATATCCCAGATAAGTTAAATCTGTTTCATATCTTGACTCATCTAGCAATTGAAAGTGAGGATCATTTCATGGATTAATCAATATGAAATTAATCTGATTTGTTCTCCCCCGCTCAACGCGTTGGGGGGACATAGAAATACCAGGCGTCCATCTGGTCGTTAGTGCTCTCACGTGTACAATTCTTGCCAGATCTTTATGAAACTTATATCATAGGTTTAAATCAGCAATGTCATGGACGAGTTTGAAAATCAGTGCTGATCAATTATATTTAAAAGAGTTATGCCTATTGGAAACATTAATTATATGGAAAATTTGTTTTGTTAGTGCTCTCATTTGTACAATTCTTGCCAGATTTTTATGAACCTTATATCATAGGTTTATATCAGCAATATCTTGAATAAGTTCGAAAATCAGTGTAGACGAATTATTTTTAAAAGAGTTATGCCCTTAGGAAACTTTAATTATATGGAAAATTGCATCGTTAGCACTCTCATTTGTACAATTCTTGTTAGAATTTTATGAAACTTATATCATAGGTTTATATTAGCAATGTCTTGGACGAGTTCGAAAATTTACAACGCAGTTTTCCATATAATCAATGTTTCCAAGTAACATAACTCTTTTAAAAATAATTGCTTGGCACTGTTTTTCCAATTCGACCAAGACATTGCTAATATAAACCTATGATATAAGTTTCATAAAAATCTGGCAAGAATTGTACAAATGAGAGCGGTAACGATGCAATTTTCCACATAATTAATGTTTCCAAGGAGCATAACTCTTTTAAAAATAATTGATCGTCACTGATTTTCAAACTCAACCAAGACATTGCTGATGTAAACATATGATATGTTTCATAAAAATCAGGCAAGAACTGTACATGTGAGAGCATTAACAAGACCGTACGGACAGACAGAAGGACACCTAGTATTTCTATGTCCCTCTCAAAGCATTGCGTGGGGGACAAAAAGCAAGGTTAATATTCATATTAAATTAAAATGTTCTCATCCTAAATATGCATTTAATTTTCTGCTGGACATTAAGCAGCCATTCATCATCATCATCAAGTATACCCAACATAAATAACACAGTTATGGCAGTTTAATGAAAAAAGGATTAAGTTCATTCATTACACTTTATTTCAATTGTTGTACTAAAATAATGTGGTGGGAAGAATGAAGCAGCAATGATTATCTCCCCTGATATTGAAACAACATTTATAATTGATAGAAATCTACATCAAGACTACCTTTGATCATATGTTTACCCAAATATGGAGAAGTTTCAAAATGTTGATCCATTCTGACATCACATGACACACAACATGACATAATCAATCACACATACAAAACACAATTCAGGCTGTAAATTTGAGTATTAACATAAAATAATCTTATTTAAATTAAATAGTATATAATATATCTCTTAATTAACAGGAAGCAGGTGTTACCTGTGAAAAAAAACAAAGTATGTTTGATAAGAGGTAATCTGTCCTTTGTGGGCATTTGTTATTTTTTGGTAATGGATGTACACATTTGTTTCCTATAAAAGGAAACAAGGCACAAGGCATGTTTTATAAGAGGTAATCTGTCCTTTCTTGTCATTTATAACTTTTTTGGTAGTTGAATGTACAATTTTTAAAAATGGCAGAAAATGTGTGGCTTACATATGTTTTTCTTCCACTTTTCTAGAAATCAATGTGTTCAATCAGATGAGCACACTGCATAGAATAAGGTAATGTAAGGGGAAATAAATAATGATTTTTAAAGAAAAGTCTTGAGACTAAAGTTCAAGGACTGGTGCTTTTACATTCAAAGTAATAAGTACTCTGTCCTGTTTACTGATAATATCTTAACTTATCCAAATTTTATGTATATAAAGTATTTTAAGTACTTATTTAATATAGATAAGTAGGTGTAATATGGTCCTTTTTTAGCGCATAAAATAAAGTCGTACAAAACAGCTTGAATTCTGCATTGAAATGATTAATAGATGTGTAAAAAGCCTTAACTTTTGAGGTCTTTCTTATATTAAGAATATTTCTTAAAGATTTAACAGCCAAAAAGACAATCTTGATTTTTCTTTTTCATTAACAATTAAATTTTTATTTTCATTATATCACATAATAAATAAATCAAATAAATAAACAGATTATTTTTGAAGAATTTTTTTTTAACAGTGTGAAGTGGTCTGAACAGGTAGGTTTATACCAAATACCTACATAATTCAGCCTCATCAGATGGTTTGATGGTGGAATGCATAACACCATATTCAGGCTGAAGCCACATAAGTATTTAGTAACATACTGTTAACAGTGATTTTTAAATATTTGTATGTAAAAACATGTTTTACACTAAAAATAAATGTTATTTTAAGACACATCATACTTAATGCCCTTGATGGTTTATGAAGATTTTATGCCACATAAAAGCTATGTCACATGCATAATAACTAGGGGTCTTAACATTTAACATTCACATGGAGACTTAATGCCAATTCAAATCAAATATCAGATTATTTGACATACATATGACGTAATACGAGTATACCATAACAAATAGCTTATTTGCTCAAAACTGATGTCATTATTCAACACAAATTTATGTACTTCTTTCCTTCCTACTTGGCAAGGGAGACAAATCTGATGACATCCTTGTTTAAATATAAATACCATCAAGTGCCCCTACTTCACTAAGAGTAATTATAAAGTGTATCTGACCTCTTGCATCAGGTAGGCCATAATAAAAAATCCTAGATTCTCATCCAGATTTTTTTCAGAAAGAGCGGGCAGGCATATTCTTTATTTTATTTTTGCCACAATTTGTGATATTCTACTAAAATGAAAGAAAATAACCAGAAAGCATAATTTAAACAAAATGGCTCTAATAATAATGGGTGTAATAGGGATAAGAAACAAGTTTTTTTTAATTATGGCCTTACAAAATAAATTGTCAAAAAAAATACAGAATAAAAATTAATTCTTATAATTCTGATTCATAAGAATATGAGAACCAGTTAATTTACATGGCCTTAGAGGGTTATGATACTACTGACATGACAAAGGACAATGATTTACCAAACTTACCTACAAACATAAAATGTCAAAACAGCACATTAAAATAAATATTACATATGTGTATACACTACATCTAAGGGTATTTAAGTAATAAATAGCTGTCTATAATTATGCACCAAATAAATCATTAAAATAATCAAAATATAGAAATATATAAAACTATCCAAGAAAAGTTTTGGCCTGTAACTCTTTCTAACCATTACAAATCATGCAATCTCTTGTTGTACAATTAATATGAGTCATCCAAAATTATATTTTCACAAGAGTACAAACATACCTCTTCAGCACTCAAAATGTGTATACATTTTAAATTGATCAAATAATGTATTGAACACTAGTGAAAATGTTCAAGATTTGCTATGAAAAAGTTTGTTTTTAAATTCATTTATTATAGCAAAAAGTTCTTTCAAAAAGCTGTTAAGATAAGCATTTATGTTATTTACAAATTTTACCAGTGCAAATTTGAATTCCCTAAACAGAAAGATCATTGAGTTTAACAAGAACCTTACCTAAAGCATATGTACAAATCATGTTTTTTAATTGATCTAATGCTGCTTTGCAAATGTGCATATATTGTCAAAAAATTCTAAACATAATGGTTATTCATGTTTATGGTTTAAATTAATTTCAGCACATTTTTTTCCATAACCATATAATTATATACATTTAGTTAAATAGTTATTTAAAATAGAGTCAGTAAATATGATTATACTATGACGTACAAGATTTATTCTTCTTTAACCGTGACCTGACTTTGTAATATGTGTAATTCCTTTTGGAATGTTTTATCACTGATATGGTTTTCTGCTGTGATATTTAACATTTCATGTCATTCTTTATTTCCTTAAACTGTAGTCAACAAACAAACCTTTTTTTTCTTTCATTCAATAAACAAAATAAAATGTTTTCAAAGTTTCAAAAATATTTTAACAAAATTTAATACAATACAACATATATGTGTTTGCATTGTCAACTATTTTGTATGATAAATATACAATAAAAATCTTTCTTTGCAACCTCCACTTTATCATAAAAGTTAGTGCTATTTCATATATATATCACATTTGTTCCTCATTTGAAACATTCATCCACTCTTCACAGTCCCTACTAAATTAGACCTATACATGTCTACCTTCCCGACTTAGAGTGCTGTATCAACCACTGTAATGTAATATCTGAAAAGAAATGAAAAGTGTAGAATAAGTTTTCATTCCTAACATGCCTAAGGCATCAATGATATGCATCAAGAAATATAAAGTCATCCTGGTTACAATTCTTTTGTTGACTTATATAGACTTTGCTGCTTGACATAATCCACCCATCGATCAATTAGTCAATCATCATATAAAAAAAACCAAAGGTAAAATGCATTTGAATCTAAAACTTATTTATTTGCCTTTCACAGGATTGTTCATGTATTAAATACTGTATCTTTGTCAACTTACCAATATTTTCTTTTTCTTTACATGATATTGAATAACAACATATTTCTCTGTCTTGAATCGCTGAGAGGTTCCTGAAATGGTATTAATTTTATTATGAAAAATGTAAATTAAAAAGTGCACTTTTTCATACATTTAGCACTAAATATATTATATTACCATGCTCTAAATGATTTATGTGCATTTTGCATCAAGAGTAGTTGAAGACGGTGATTCCAAATACATTTGTTGCACATATCAGAAGTAAAGGTTGGATTTGGACACTCTTTTTACCCCATGAATTCAAAATTAAAAAAAGTTTCATAACATCCTTCAGATGTTCACAAAGCATTTGTTTTGTCAGATATCAATAATTATACTTTTTTAATTATGTCATTTGCATCAGGGTTTCAAACTTCTTGCATTTAATGCAAAATTGAAAAATAGCTTTATTTTGAGAACTGGTCATTAATATTTAAATATGTACAAAGAATACCCAAAAAGATATTTTGCTACAATATAAAATTAAGGAGATGTGGTAAGATTGCCAATGAGACAACTGTTCTTGTGTTCTACAAAGATATTAATGTGGATAAAATTAATATTTTTTGGGATAAGGCTTGGGCTTTGTTTTTTCAAAGTGATATTATGAAAGGACAAAGCCTCTTTGATAAGCAGTAAAAACCTTAAAACTAAGTAATTCCTATAAGAAATACTATTCATAATAACAAACTAAATACTGTCAGATCATCAATAAATATATTTCAAATATAGTTCATTTTGCTGGTATTTGTGGTCACATGGTAGGCTTGGGCTCATAACTTATTTTGCCATAACTACATTGTGTAATGGTCATTTGATGTCATATAAGTCAATGTCACCATGTTCATGATGTCAAAGTGACATCACAATGACATTTCTGTACTGAAGTGTCCAGATCATATTATCCTTATAATCGAGAACACTGGAATTTCACTGCTAATTCTTTATACTGACAACAACCTATCTCTAGCAATGCTGAAAATTTCACCCAGTTAATAAGTTTGAAGAAATGAATTCAAACTGCAATTTGAAAAAGTGTTTTTTCAAAGTGATATTATGAAAGGACAAAGCCTCTTTGATAAGCAGTAAAAACCTTAAAACTAAGTAATTCCTATAAGAAATACTATTCATAATAACAAACTAAATACTGTCAGATCATCAATAAATATATTTCAAATATAGTTCATTTTGCTGGTATTTGTGGTCACATGGTAGAATTTGAGAACCACAGAAAATGAAAAATACATTTTAAATGACCTTTTGTACAATGTTTTTTATTTGCTTCACAGGAAACAATTTTCCTGTTGTAAAAATAATTTTTACATAAAAAAAAATCATATCTATTTCATGATTCATTATATTTATTGCAGACATAATACTTTTTTTACCACAATTTTTGGTATATACGTATACCAGAAGGTTCAGATGAAAAAACATCGAAACATTTAAATTAAGAATCTTGAAAATACATGTACTGCAAAATTATTATTGTTTATGGGTACCAATTTTTAAGGATTTTGTTGCTCCCTCCAATGCTAAAATTTAGAACTTATATATATTGATTCCAAAGATTTTACTTTAAAACCAATCATGCAATAATTTTCAAATCCCCCAAACCAAATATGTTTTCACAAAGAATGAAAATTGATACCCATGAAGAAAACTACTTTCATAATAACATGTTAATCTTGAACATCATACTGGTACCGCTGAAAACAAAAAGTAAAACAGAGTACTATGATTCATACTCACATTCTTTCTATGAGCTGTCTTTCATCTAATGCCCCAGCTAAATCTCTCTTATTGCCTAGAACTAAGACAGGAATGCCTTGAAGCTGTGGTTTGTCTAATAAATGGTGTAATTCATTCCGTGATGGTTCTATCTTATCTGGGTCAGCAGCATCTACCATATATCTACAAAGACATTATTTATTACAATTATAACAAAAATGTACACATTATAATGCTAAGCATACCATCACACAAAGTTCAAAGTATTAAAAAACAATACATGCAAGTAAGCATTTAGATCACAAAAGCACACTTTACAACTAATCACTGTCAAGCTGATGTCCAATTGTAAAGTCATTCTGTTCATAAGTACTTTAGAAAAGTGTGACAGAAATATTACACTAGTTGGATGAACGGATGGACATGGTGAATACAATATAGCCCCCCCCCCCCCCCTTTCCACAAGTAGGAGTATAAAATAAAAAAGAAGGGATATGGTTTACTTATTCAGGTCACAGATCCCTTGCCAAACCAAAAGCAGAGAAACAGCACTGAGGTCTTTATAGTTTTGGCTGATGACGAAATGGTTCCTAAACTGCCATTTAGCCCAAGAAGTAAAAAAAAACTCTTTACACTTAGTTTTAAGCACACAAAACATTGAGGTAGTTATTTGGGTTGCATGAATGGAGTTGCATTCATTTAATTGACAAATGGATGTGGATGGACTTGAAAATTGTGATGTTATTGCCTACATTGTTGTTGTTTTTTGTAGTACTTTTGAGTATCAAATCCTATCCACAATTTAAAAAAATAATAGGCAGTAGGATCAAATTAGGAGAAATTTGTGTCTGAATCTAAATGGCCTTCAACATTGTTAATATATACATCTCCAATTTCTAAATACTTACACTATTGCATTAACCCCTCGACAGTATCTCTCCCACATTGTTCTGAACCTTGGCTGACCTCCAATATCCCATAACTGAAAATGGAAATCAGATCAATTTCTCATAGCTATGTAACACCACAAAATCTTATAAATGGACTAAAAATAGTGAAAAGTTGCAGCATTCATAATATTTACATATTTTGCACTGAAGACAAGAAACCTCTTAATGTTGAAACATGAGATCATTAATTATACTGTTAACTGAGAAAGTACCTGCAAATTTGGGGATGGAATTTTGTTTGTTGTGAAAAAGTTATGTTTAAATGTATTAATAGGTTCATATTTTTGGGGTTTGAAAGTAGACAGCAGAGTTCTTGAAATGTATGTTGTCTCATTATATATAATTAAGTCCTATTTAGACTGACACTGTTAGAAAATCTTATCAATCCAAAATACATATCAATAATTTTGTTTGAAAAATTCACTCATTTGTGTCTCAGACAAACATGTTACACCACTGAGCAAGGTTAGGGGGAAGGTTGAGCACACACAAACATATTTAACATTCTTTATGTGCCTGTCCCAAGTCAGGTGCCTGTAGTTCAATGGTTGTTGTTGGTTTATGTCTGTCATATTTCTTTTTTCGTAAATTGTTTTGTTATAAATTAGGCCGTTAGTTTTCTCAATTGAATTGTTTCATATTTTATTCATGTCAGGACCTTTTATAGCTGACCATATGGTATGGGTTTTTCTTATTGTTGAAGGCCATACAGTTGCCTATAATTGCTCACATCCACTTCATTTGAACTTTGGTGGATAGTTGTCTCATTGGCAATCATACCACATCTCCTTATTTTTATACGGTATAAAAAAAATTCTATATTTTAATTCTTTAAAGTTTGATTAAATATTGTTAATTATAATTTATACTTTTTATGCTTTTTCTTTTGTAAATTTTTGTATATTATAAATGGTTTCCTTTTTTTTAAATTCCAAGTTTTAAATTTTCCTACCCCTAACTTATGTAAAATTAAAATTGAGAATGGAAATGGGGAATGTGTCAAAGAGACAACAATCCGACCAAAGAGCAGAAAACAGCCCAAGGCCACCAATGGGTCTTCAACACAGCGAGAAAATCCCACATCCTGAGGCGGGCTTCAGCTGGCCCCTAAACAAAAATGTGTTCTAGTTCAGTGAAAACAGATGTCACACTAAACTCCGAAACATATAAAAGAACTAAAATTAAACAATGCCAAGGACCATAATTCTGCACAAAATTATCAGACCGAAACAAAATTTCCAACTTGATCTGTATAACTTGTCATGATAAAACTATATACCAATTATCAATCAATATCTTCAAGCATGATGAAAAAAAGTGTGGAAAACACTTTAACATTAGATATGATTAATAGTTATCTAAAATTAGATATGATGTAATACAGTGTCTATCTATTTTCAAATTATAATCAAATATAATTAATAGTTCCAAATATTTTTTATTTTATTTGTCACAAACTAATGTAGATTTGTAACTTATCTATAAAATGTCAACAATTTTTATCTACACAATGTAATGTAATATATACATTAATAAAAATAGATTATTATCTAATTAAAGGATTTCACTTAATAATTTTTTTTATATACATCATGTACATATAGCATTCAGAAAATTAGTTTATACAAAATAACAAACAAACCTGTCAAAAAATTCTTCAAATAATTTACCAAAGAATGTCTTTTAAAAAATGAGTTATCTCCCTTTGTACAGAAATATGGTTTAACATAGTACTCTTACATAAGATATGGTCCAGAGTTATGGTCCATAACTTTGGACTTAATCATCAGACCGGAACAAAATGCGAACTAGATCTATAACTTGTCATGGCAAAACTATATACCAAATATCAAATCAATATCTTCAAGAACTAAGAAAAAAAGTGTGGAAAACTGATTTGCTGGACTGACGGATGGACAGACAGACGGACAGAGTGCAAACCTAAAGTCCCCGTCGACTTCGTCGGTAGGGGACTAAAAAACATACAAGACTAACAAAAGCCAGGGGCTCCTGACTTGGGACAGGCGCAAAAATGCGGCTGGGTTAAACATGTTTTGTGAGATCTCAACTCTCCCCTATACCTCTAGTCAATGTAGAATAAACAAACACACAGCAATACGCACAGTAAAACTCACTGCTATTAATAAAACTTACCTTTATTGTAACATTCCCCTTGGTAATTTTTCTCATGTTGAACCCGACTGTTGGAATCATGTCTTCACTAAACTGACCTGACTGTAAATACAAAACAGATACATCTGCATTAATGCAAGTTTTCAAATATTTGTTCAATTGTCCAATTGTACTATTGGTATTAAAGACAATTAAAAATCTCACAAAATTGTGTGTAGATGCAGTTTCTTAGATGTAGATTTTAAGAATCAAAAGAAATGTAAACTTAGGTTATGTCAATAAGATAACTGTGGCAACCATGGCAACAGGGTGACAAAAAAATGCATCTAGTGGTCAACATAGATATCAACAATAGACAATAACCCATTGGCTATACATTTACATTATAGCTAGATACAAACATGTCAGGGCTGCCAAGTCTCACACATTTAGCTTGAGAGTCACGCATTTTCATGCTTATTTGGCGGCATTTTCCTTTGATCTATTGTTTTTTCTCTTTGATCTTTACAATTTTGGCCAAATCTCATGCATTTGCATTATTAAAAGTTGGCAGAACTGACATGAACATGTAAGTTATGAACAAATTAAATAGAGAAAATCAAAGATCTGCCATACATTGTTATCACCAAATTCCCAATATACAAATATATATATGAAGAATGCTGTCATGACTGTTCCCATTGTGTGCTAATGTAGTTTGTAAGTTACATGTAGATGTACATTTTTGTACATGTAAAAGTGAATTCATTCACTGAATATATACATTGTATGCTGTACATGATAAACTTTTTTAATCATCTTCATCATAAAAACTCATGACACATTGTGTTGTATTGATTGATTGAATGACTTTTGCTTGCTTATTATACAGTGGCAAAATTTTCATGCATATTCAGGATATCATATCAAGAATTAATACAATAGGAAGGTAGAGTGTTTTTTAAGATTTGATAAAAGAGTGGAGCTCAACAGCAGCAACAAAATGTACAAACTATCCTCTCATTGGTCATGTTGGTCAAGTTGTGAGCTTGGACTTGGCCTTTGACTTCTGGACAGGAATTATAGCAATTTTACACCTAATTTTTATGAACAAAATCTTCATTTCTTGGCCATTGGTAGAGCTTGAACCAAAAAATAATTGCAAGTAAAGAGGTCAAATTCACAACATCACTAAGATAAAAGCATAACATTTTGAAAGTTATTTTTCTGACGACTTCATAAATAAATTATATAAAAAAAAAAATAATGGTCAACTTGACTATTATCCCTTATCCCCTTTTGGATTCTACATTTGTAAGTCTGGAGCCAAATCATAAAATCCCAATGGGCGGCCAAATCCAATTAATCGCTCCATATACCCTTGGACTAAAGTATCAATGTACCAGTCCCAGCATATACCAAACCCAAAAGGGCATTAAAATGATATCAACACTGAAACTAGTCCAAATAATTATGACGTCTTGAAAAGCTATTATATTTTTTTTCTTTGACGCCTTACATCGATGTAAGGCGTCAAAGAAAAAAAATATAATAGCCTTTCAAGACGTCATAATTATTTGGACTACACTGAAACATACATTTGTACATGCCCCAATAACCTTTGGGAACTCATCATGTACCTTTGTCTCATATGACATGTGTTCCCACACCCATAAAAAATTACACATCACTAATCTCAACTTAAAATTGTTGCGTTTAGAATCAAACACTTATATCAAGCATTGCCACTATTTTCACAGATATGATGTACATATCGATACACATGACTAATTGTCATTTAAACAAAAATGCTGATTTGATTCAACCGTCAACTGTCACTCACCGCTATAACATTTACAAACGTTGTTTTTCCGGAATATTGGAGACCAACTAAAGTCAATTCCATCTCTTCCTTCCAGAAGAGACTTTTAAACCAGTCTAATATCCTCTGAAAGAAGGCAAGCATTGTGTATATGAAATTATTTGGACAAAATAAGAATCTTCCTGGACATACAAAGATCACATGACATAATACATTTAATACATTCGGAAGTCATAGATGTTATCGTTCAAAATGAAGTCAAAGTCCAAAACAATCAATATGTAAATTTTAAAGATTTTTTTAAAACAAACGAATTTACGTCATTACTTACGGAGCATGATCGAGTTCTCCGAAAAGCTAAGGTAGCAAAACACAGTTAGGAAAAAAACTAAAAATTGACACTCATTTTTTTTAACCACCATCTTTCCTTTGCTTTCTAACAAATATGTATGTGCATATGTAACATGAAACCATGAGTTAGGGGACGACCTTCTGGGAGGGGGGGGATAAATAACCTGACTTACAATGTATTGAAAATAACTTGGCAGGTCTTTTAAGCCATCTCATAAATGCTATTCTGAAGTATGAGATGGCACCAGATTCTTCCAAAATTCGTCTTTTTTCATATTTTTTCGGGAAAAACTTCCCAAATCTTTTAATAATATAAATATTAATATTAATGTTAATGTATTTGAAATGTTTGAAAATGGGTTTCATTTCACTTAAGGTATATTGTCTCGTGAACATTTACCTCACTTTTATTAAAGGGCCGTAACTACATTGAGGCAAATGCCTCATGTTGGAAATTTCAAAACAAAAGCTTGTCTTCATATCAAATTGTTTTCATGGCAAGTGTCTTGCAAGAAGCAAGTTCTGTTCACCCACTGACGTAGCCCCTGTTTTTTGAGATCCATGTTTCTCATTTATTTTTATTTTTCAGTGTTGATTGTCTATAATGTTTGTCGTTTTGTGTTTTATCTGTTCCCGGGTTTGTCTTTTGTTCATTGATTGCCCTTCTTTATGACTATTCTCTAAGTGTTGCATTCTATTTGTAATTTAGTAATTATGTTTTAAACTTGAGTTTTATTATATTTAACAGGGACTTTCTATACTATTTCTAGTATAGAAAGTCCCTGTATTTAAGGACTTTTTGTCTATTACAAACTACTTTAAATTGTATCCCAGTTAGGAACTACATCAAGTTGTAATTGAAATGTGTTATAAAAACTGACTTGACATAGTTATATCAATGATAATCAGCCCCTCTTAACTTAATTTGAAAAAAAACATAATTGACAGACATAAAAGGTTTTTCTGCAAACTGAAACATTTTTTGCTTTGTCCTATACATATTGGTCTTTTGATGCTGTCCCTAAAAACTAAAAGTCTTACACTGAATCTATATATTTTGCTTTGAGACCAGAATATTGTCAAAAAATTAAAACAGAACTTGCGTTTTAGATTAAGAAAGGGTCTGGGAAACACGCATAATGCATGATTTTGCGCCATTTTTTCTATAGCTTCTTGGGGCCTTCAGCGAACCCCAGACTCTTCGCTGATTTTTTTGACAACTTTTAAAAGAGGCTAGTTACAGCCCAGCTTTAATACCTTGTACGTATGAAAAATATGCAGTTTGCAATTCAGAAGATTAACTTTCAGAGGATGATGATTAATTCTGATTGACTTAATTGACTATGTTATTTATTTAAGAATTTAAAAATTGTATGTTTTCAAATATTATAAATATACTAGTAATTGTGAAAATAGATAATCAGTCCCTTGTTTTAATGAAAATGAAAAATCATGCTTCAACAGTGCATAAAATAAATAATCTGTCCTTTTGGTACACAAAAATAAATAACCCATCTAAAACAAATCCTCCTGTCCCCCCCCCCCCCCCCCCCCACCCCCCCCCCCCCCCCCCGAATATCAAATGGTCGTCCCCTTAATGTGGTGAAATATAAACTCTTTGTGGTGTAACCATGGCAACAATCTCTTTTATTTGATACAAAATATTGAATAAAAGGGGGTGAAAATGTCACATAAGTCCCCCAAATTTGGTCCAAAGAAGAATTTCAATCCTACGTTAAGAGAGATACCTTTTCTGAAACCATTGATTATGTATCTATCAAGAGGTACAACAGAAATCATTTCACATCATGTTTCCATAAAATTGAATAGAAAAGTTCGAGGGTAAAATATTTGTTGAAAAACACTACAATTATTTCTGGACCTACGGGCAGTTCTACGGATCGGGCGTAAATACGGACTGTCAAACAGAAAAATGGCCTATAAAACATGCAAAAAACAATCTTGATGTTCATATAAACCAACTTTGAAGGCTATATTATTCTTCAGCTATCTAAATATCAATTGTATTGCACAAAAACTTTCATATTTAAAAAATTCACCATGGCCAATATGTTAAATGTGTATTGCTACCTAAAGAACAAAAACCAAAGGCGTTTATAGCCTTCTATCCTGATACAGGACGTCTTCAGGAAACATTAATTTTTCCATCTATTCTCTATGGTAGAGTAGAAGTTACTACAGGCTGGGACATACTAGTATACATTAACATGCACACTGTGATATTTATTGTTGTAATTACCAATTATGTCAATCAATTGTAACTGATTTTATGCCTTTATGGGCCCTGTAACTTGGGAAATAAAAATATTCTATTCTATTCTATACTATTCCCAGCTATACGAGAGGTGTATATGGGTAATTTTTCCAATGATTTGTATCTTTCTGTACAGTACAGCTAGTCAAATCATTGATCAAATCTAAACAGAACTGAAAAAAATAGCGAAAAAAGTTATATTCTGTTTCCAATGAATGTCTATATTACATTGTCAAGGTCGAATATGTTGCAAAATTTACGTATATATTATTTAATATTATTATGTTATACTTTGTTTAATCTATTTTTTTATATATTTTGTTTGAAAAGTATGATTGTAATTAAACCGCTCATTCTTAGTGCCATGGTTTGCAAATTAAATTGCTATTCCTTTGTTCGTTATATCTGCTCAAACGGTTTTGTTGATGACCACTAAAGCCACCAACACTGACTCCACAAATGCATTAAAATGTAACTTTCTTTTTTAGCTCACCTGGCCCAAAGGGCCAAGTGAGCTTTTCTCATCACTTGGCGTCCGTCGTCCGTAAACTTTTACAAAAATCTTCTCCTCTGAAACTACTGGGCCAAATTTGACCAAACTTGTCCACAATCATCAATAGGGTATTTAGTTTAAAAAATGTGTCTGGTGACCCGGCCAACTAACCAAGATGGCCGCCATGGCTAAAAATAGAACATAGGGGTAAAATGTAGATTTTGGCTTATATCTCTGAAACCAAAGCATTTAAAGCAAATCTGACATGGGGGTAAAATTGTTTATCAGGTCAAGATCTATCTGCCCTGAAATTTACAGATGAATCTGAAAACCCGTTGTTGGGTTGCTGCCCCTGAATTGGTAATTTTAAGGAAATTTTGCCGTTTTTGGTTATTGTCTTGAATATTATTATAGAAAGAGATAAACTGTAAACAGCAATAATGTTCAGCAAAGTAAGATCTACAAATAAGTCAACATGACCAAAATGGTCAGTTGACCCCTTAAGGAGTTATTGCCCTTTATAATCAATTTTTAACCATTTTTCGTAAATTTTTGTAATCTTTTACAAAAATCTTCTCCTCTGAAACTACTAAGACAAATTTAACCAAACTTGTCCACAATCATCATTAGGGTATCTAGTTTAAAAAATGTGTCCGATGACCCTGCCCGCGAACCAAGATGGCCGACATGGCTAAATAATAGTTCATAGGGTAAAATGCAGTTTTTGGCTCATATCTCTGAAACCAAAGCATTTAGAGCAAATCTGACAAGAATAAAATTGTTCATTAGGTCAAGATCTATCTCAATTTTCAGACCAATCAGGCAACACGTTGTTGGGTTGATGCCCCTGAATTGGTAATTTTAAGGAAATTTTGCAGCTTTTGGTTATTATCTTGAATATTATTATAGATAGAGATAAACTGTAAACAGTAATAATGTACAGCAAAGTAAGATCTACAAATAAGTCAACATGACCAAAATTGTCAATTGACCCCTTAAGGAGTTATTGCCCTTTATAGTCAATTTTTTACAATTTTCATAAGATCTACAAATAAGTCTGTACGTCAAGAAACATAGCCACTATGGCTAAAATGGAACATAGTGGTAAAATGTTTTTTTTTGCTTTTGAAGAAAATATGACCGTGAGATACAAAGAACATTTAATCAAAATTGTCAATTGACCCCTCAAGGAGTTATTGCCCTTTAAGGACAATTTTACACAATTTGTTTATCATATTTTCCAACTTTAAAAAATCTTCTCCTCTGAAACTACTGAACCAATTCCAACCAAACTTAAGCTGAATGATTCTTAGGTTATCTTAAATAAAGTTTGTGTTTTATTTTCTGTTTCCTCAGAAAACATGGCCACCATGGCTAAAAATAGAACATAGGGTAAAATGCAGTTTTTGACTTATATCTCAAAAACTAAAAAAATTAGAGCAAATCAGACAAGAAGTTTAAGTATTCATTAGGTATTCAATTAAAGACAATTTTCAAATATATATTGAAGTATATAGATTTATAATAGTGCTACTATATATTGCTTTATTCAAAAGCATGTCTTTTTAAAGACAGTTGTCGAAAATATATTTATAAATACATAAATAAATAGATCGATAATAGTGCTACTATTTATTGCTTTATTCAAAAGCATGTCTTTTTAAAGACAGTTGTCGAAAATCTATTTATGAATACATAAATAATTAGATATTCTCGACTATCAGTCTCATTGAGCCCTATAGCACAATATATTGTGCATTGCTACTATTATAGCACCTCTTACTAGTAGACAAAATATCAAAATGGACAGTGGGTCAATTGTCTATATGTATACAGATGTATTACATCAAACAGAAATAGTAGATATTTTAACAAATCCTGAAACATCTCGTACATCGAATGTTCCCCCTTATAAGCCAAAGGCAAACGAAGTTTACTTGTTTCAAACTGGGGCAGATGATTGGAAATGTGACCAATATCTGTGGATAAATAATGGTACAAAATCAGTCACCATTGGTAATGATGTTCTTAAAAAACATTTTTACAAAATCCGATTACCAGGAACAACAGACAATACAAACGGTAGAAAAAGACCAGTTGGTTCT